AAAATATTAAATAAAAGTTATTTAATTAAATATATAATTTATTAAAACTTATAATTTATTTATATTTTTTATTTTAATTAAATTAATTATTATAGTATAAACTTATGCTTATATTAAGTTTTTTAATTAAAATATTATAAAATATTTATAATATATAATAAATATTAATTTAATTAATAATATTAATAATAAATTTAAATTATAATAAATAATAAAAAACTTAAATAAATTAAATAATAAAGTAAATTAATAATTTATTATAAATTATAAGTATATTTATAAATAAAAAAAATATATTAATATTATATATATTATTATAATAAGGTTTTTTAAATTATTATAATAATGATTTTTTTAACTTTATTAATTTATATTATTAAATTTTTAATAATATTAATTAATATTAATAAGTATATATATATAATATAAAATAATAAATAAATAAATTAAATAATAATAAAGGTAAAATTAATATATTAATAATGTTTAAAAAAGGAAAAATTTATTTAAAGTTAATTAATTACATAATATTTTTTTATATAATAATAATAAGTACATTATTTCTTTTTTTAATATTAGCGGTAAAGCATTTTATTTTTAATAAAGTGCTTACGCGTTAATATTATATAACCGTTAAATACGTACCACAATAAAATATATATATATGTTACGTAATTATTACATATATTATTAATATATAAATAATTAATCGTTAAATTTATTAAAACTATTATTAAATTTATTATTAAATTAATTACTTTTTACTATTTTCCTTTTTTGTAAACGTGTTTCTTATTAATTTTTATGGTTTAATAAACCCATTAAATACCTAACGATAACATCGAAAATAATCATGATTTAGTACTTTAAGCTAAAGAAATAACTTCCAATTCTTATATCTTTTAACATCTTAATACGACATGACCTTAACTTTAAGCTTTTATACTACCCGAAAAGTAACCTTATGTAAATTACCTTAACTTAACACGCGTAGGCAGGTAATCCTTAACATAACCAACGCCATCCCCAGCGCGGTATCCATAATCACTATCTATAGTATCTGGTGCTACCATACGTTTCCTAAGAAATTTAGCAAATGTATAACCGGATCATGTACACATTAAAAGACTTAATATAAAGCAGAGGATAATGAATACGTACTGCAGCTTATGCCAGCCCTCCCAATCGAAATCAAACTCGAGCTCTCGCACGGTGAGCACCAATGCTAATTTCATCTCCATCATGGCCAGCTCCTCCCCAATGCACCTTGTATGGCCGAGCTCGAAGGCGCGCCACGCGTTTTTGACAGGGTGGAGCGGGTGGTCTTCCGCAACAAGGAATCGCTCGGGCAAAAACTCGGTAGCTCGCGGCCATAGGTCGGAGCGCAGGTGGACTACGGTTGGGTTCGTCTGGATCAGTGCGTTCTCTGTAGGATATCTGAGGCCGTCGCACACGAAGTAGAAATCGGGGCTCCCTCGGCGGAAGGTCGATCCCAGAGGGTGAATTCGAAGAGCTTCCTTGATGACAGCGGTCGTGTATGGCATATGGTTCAGTTTATGCGGATGCTGCGAGAGTGTCTGAACGGCATCTCCTGGGTTTGCACCAAGGATTTCGTCATGCTCCGCTCGGAGCCGGGTTAGAATGTCTATATTACTGTTGATTCTATATAAAATCCAACATCTAGCCAAGAGAGGCGCATTAGTGAATATCCTAGAACCATCAGCCTATAGAAAGGGACACATACATTGCTTGGGCAGTCGTGTCGTGGCCGGCGGATATGAAAAGTCTAAGCTGGGACTCGACAATGTCAATGAACTCCGAGTTTAGTTCTTTTGGGTCTTGTTTGTCAGATTCGCTCCTGAACTCTTGGAGGGCTAGTGAAATAACTGTTTTGTGGTTACTAGAGCTAGTCTCCGCCGCGAGCTGGGACTGGATTTGGGGCAACAATTGATTTCGGATTATCCCGTTTTGCATTTCTACATCCCGCCGATAGCCAGGTCCCAAGCGCTCAAGTTTAGTCCAAAGGTTTGGACTCTTCACATGAGTGAGTAGCTGGCGCATGGCTTTGAGAATTGGACTGGGCCCTTCTGTCTGTTCATTTAGGCGAAGGTCTCTGATAATGATTTCGATTAGCGATATTGATTAATTGAATAGGTGCATAATAGTACTCACAAAGCTGTTCTCATGATGATGTCGAAGGTCAAACTAATAGTTCTGTCGTTCAAAGTAAATAGTTCTCCCCACTGGTTGTTAATTCCGACTTGGCTTTTTAGTTGCTGAGCAAAAATCCCCACCTCTTCCAATAAGATGGGCATTTGCAATGTGATGTTCCGCAGAGAAAAGCCTGGATTGAATCGCGAACGCCATATGCGATGGTCTGCTGTGTTCATGGATATCAGGTCTTTCCCCCGAGTCACAGGGAACATAGCCCATCGAAATGTGGAATCTCTCGGCTGCGGATTCTCCTGGGTAAGCTGGTAACATGCTTCAGGACTGGTGACTAGGATGAGCGGTTGAGATAGGAAGGGCCAAAGATCCAAGTAGATAATCGGAGGACATTTCGTTGCTTGAGGAAAGAATTTCTGCCATCCTACGGCGATTCTTCTTTGGGAATAACAACTGTGAGCGTCTTTAGGCAATCCCTTCTTCAACTCTTTCATAAACGATATATGTCCGAGAATGAACGAATATGGTTCGGGGACGGGCTATATATTGTCAGCGTGTTCTTGGCCCGAGTTCATTGCATGATATCGGCAATGTTATCAGGGGCTTTAATAAAAACCTACAAAGCCTTGCTTTCGCATATTACGGAACTTAAGCCTCGTAGACACACCCCGGTACAAAAATTGTGAGAGGCATATTAATACAAGAAGAAAGGCCGATTCGGAGAAAAGGCGCAGTATGTGTGCCTGACTGAAATTCTGCATTTTCCAGGACTGTAACGATTGAAGGAAAGTGCGGCGGAGGTTTAATGTATTTAGTGTACTGCTAAGGTGGCGATTGGAGATGAAAGAAGGGGAAGCCAAAATTGTGAGAATTTGTAGAGAACTTGCTACTTACCTAGGTAGGTACCTGTTCGGTTCCTGGATGCCTACTAGGTACGTACATGTGGTGCATTGTAGCCAACATACATCTTGTGCGAGGTACATAATATAAATTGGGATGTTAGGTACCTTGGAACTCTTTACCCACCTGTCTTCAGCTGGGCGCATTCTGCATCTTGGTATCGCCAGACAGAACTAACTGCCCGACGGGACCGGGACTTCAGCGCAAAACAGGCCCAGGTTGCCCAAGACACCTAAAGGTTATGTGCCCCGCCTCTACCAGAAGCAAGCTCATTTGTCGTGCAGTACCATGGCTCCTACCAATGTTCTACTACTAATTATCTGTAATTAAGCAGCAACGGGTTATACTGCAACATAGGCATGCTCATGTGTCTACTACGAAGCACCAGAAGATAAGCTCCTCATCAACCATTGCCAATTTAGTAATAGCATTATGTGCAACGAAAGTTTGGCTAATTGACGAACTAATTATATTACTTATTGCACACTTGCTCTCCTCCGCTACAGTACGATTAGGACATGTAGTGCTGCCCGGGGATCTGTATAGAGCAATCTCAGATTCTGAATACCTGATAAATCTACTCTTCATTGCTCATAATTAGGATCCAGAACCAAACTTACGTCTAGTGCGACGAGAAGACTCAGTAGACAAGCATATCTACAGCATCGCCTTTCACTTTATCCCAAATGCTGTCCAGTCCCTCTACAAGCCCTTTAGGGAGGGGCCCCCCTTGGATCCCAAGGATGTATTGGTCGAGTTGTTGCTTATTGCGAGGCCCGATGATGACGCCGTCTCCCAGACCCCCATCCAGCCTTGAGTGGTTCATGATCCATCGCAAGCCCGCATTAGTAATGTTCACGCTATATGTATCACACAGCTCTGCCATTCTGCGAATTGCGTCATGGAAGCACGGCTTGTCGTACCACTTCCTACCATATATCCCGATCACGTTTGTCTCAGACACTTCGAAGCGAGTGCCCTTGAGGTCATCTGGGCCATTCGAGAAGGTGACCTTGCCAGTTAACATGCCACCCGCGAGTACACCGAAGGCGTTGAATGATATGCCATGTTTACGGAGTAGTGGGAAGAGATCCGCTTCGTATCCACGGCAAAGAATGTTATATTGTCCCTGGAAGACGGTCGGCTTGATGTAGCCTTTTTCATCGGCGATTTTAATCCATTCTTCGAGCATATCAGGCTGAAAGTTGCAGATTCCAAGCTGAGAGAACTTCCCTAGGCGATACTGGGCATCGAACGCGGCCGCCTGTTCTTCTAAGGGAGTGGTGCGGTCGGGCGCCAAAGCATAGTAGATATTAATCTGGTATCAATATTAAGCCCATCCAAGTAAAACATTTCCACTAAAGGAACTCACCTTATGCGTTTTCAGGCTAGACAATGTCTGGTCTATGGACTTCTCCACAGCTTCAGCCGTCAAGGTGCCGTCTCCACCATTCGAATAGAGGACCTTGGAGTCAACGGTGAAGCCCTGGTTCTGGTATCCTATTTCCCCAAGCAGCCTTTCTGCCAATCCCGGCTTGCTATAGGGGTGGTGGGCTCCAGAGTCGATATGTAGAATTCTCAGTCTTTCAGCATCGTTCAGTTGGCTGCGGATCTCGTCTTCTCCTAAGAAATGACCCCATACTCCGCTCCCAATAATAGGCTTTGGGGGCGTCATGTTGTGTTGTTCGGAAGATGGAAAGATGCAGATAAGAAACAAGAAAATAAATTGTTGAGTTGATGAAATGATAGATAAAGCCTCTTTCTTACAATGTTTGCTACTTTCCAACCATGTGATTTAATTTTAGTAACTGACTGGTCACTATGTGCGACCTCATCTGTATGTCTTTGAAAAGCTATCCTAATTCAGCTTTCCTCCCTTGCATGCCATGCTTCCCTTCTTTTGGCACTGCTGTCGGGCAGCTCCTTTTGGATTCCGTTTTGCTCGGCTGCGGGGTTGGGCGTTTTCGTAGGCTTTGGTCGGACTTCTGTTTATAGCTTTTTGCCCGTTGGGCGCAGTGGCAGGCAGCCTAATGCAACCCTATTAAAATCACATTCTGTCGTGGTACATAGTTCGCTCTGCCGGCTGACTGCAGCTGTCCAAGTGTCCCCTGAGAAAAGGGGGTGTAATTTTCCCTTGATAGTAGGCAGGGAGAGGAAATTGAAAGAACAGCAAAGCGGAGTTGGCTATCATTCTGCTGTGTATATTCTATCCGCCCAGAAAACCTCTCTACTGATAATTTAAGTCATTTAACCATTCCTAACATCCAGAACCTGCTACATATAGACCTACGAACTTCGATCGACACTTCTATTATTATATCCCAAGTCATAGCTTTCGCAAAAGAAATCCGTCATTCTGTAAGTCCTGGAAAATTCTCGATGGGTCTAGGCTCTTTGCCACTGATTCCAATCGCTTGACGTTATCTGTACCGTAGCTGCCGAGGACATTCTGCGTGAAGCTGGCGTGATTCATGAAGTGGAAATTGAGCAAATGATTTTGATCTTGAGCCAACGATTGGAGGCCTTCTAAAAGCTCCTCTGAGAGTTGCTGTGCGTTAGTGTCGTCTTTCGCGTCGGCCCACTCTAACACGAATGACCACCCTATTCCACGATAGTTAGCTATAACTGGAAGTTATTATGTGATGCGCGGTCTAGCTCGTACATGTTTGGGGATCCTTATCTAGGCCGAGAGAGTTCCCTCCTCGATCTTTGCCCACCAGAACCGCCGTCGAAGCCAAAGGTGCAAGAGTATAAGATATATTAGCAGACGATAGATGAGGATACGCCTGTAATATCCCCAAGAACATCTCATGAACTTGAATATAGAAGTCATAGTCATATGTGGTGGAGACGGTAGAAGGTAAACGTCTAGTTCCAGTTAGTTCATTTTTGACAACATCGACCTGAACATCATTGAGTTCTCGGATTACCTAGCATCATATGGAGGCCCAGCCGCATCCATATCGGCCTCGAAAGATCCGATAGACCCATTGGTAAGCTCAACAACATATCCAATGAGGCTGTCGAGAGCGAAAAACGTATCAAATATGCTAGGTGGTTGCGCCAACCAATCTGCATATAGCAATCCGACAGTAATTACAGTGGGGGTTACACTGAGAAATATGTCAATTTTAGGGTCGACTTCCATCTGCTCTTGAACTTGGATAGTTGCATTCAAGATATTTGCATAGTCTGTGGCGTTGTAAATAGCCAAGCTGTACTGAACGTGGATAGCTGGATAGGTAAGGATATCGAAGCGTGTGACAATGCCTATATGGTGCCATGAGCATCAGTGAATTGATGAATAGCAAAACTAAAAACTAACCAAAATTAGCACCGCCTCCTTTCAAGGCGATAAATAATTCTTTATTTTGACGCGAATTAGCGTTGACAATCGTAGAATTAGCTAAAACAATCTGTGGAAGGTGTCGAGCGCAGTTAGCCAGCGCTTCTTATGATACGGTTGATGTTATTTGGTTGGCATACTTCATAGTTCTCAATGCTGTCGACTGCCAAGCCATGGAGGCTTGGAAAAAATACCAATCCACCTGAATCTTATTAGTTTGGAGTAATACCTTAAATAGAGTTGAGCATTTACCTCCTAACAGATAACCAGGTATACCGACATGCTGCACTCGAGCACCTTTAACTGCTCGACCATGACCTTCAGTAAAATCATACATGGTCCTCCAGGTGTTGCCCGGTCCCGCCTGTAACAGTCCATTATCGGTCAGGGACAGCATTTTTAGGCCTTTGAGGTCAAGCAGCACACCGTAATCCTCAATGCTGGAGAACCCAGGATTTGGATTATGACCTCCGCCCCGAACAGAGAATTTAGATTGGGTCTCGGTGATAATTCGAAGGGCAATGCCGACCTCTGCAGGCTCTTTAAGAATTACAAAGCATGCTGCTGGTAACCAGCATGTTGCAGACCTAAATATCAAATGTCAAATGTAAATATGGGTCGGGAGCTTTGTGTAGATGATGAAACTTACCAGTTTATATATTGTTCTGACTTATACTCTGTACGCGTCAGGTTCAGGACCCGCCCTGGAAAAATCAGTTCAGACATAATGCATGCGGCGGAAGCGCGTTGAAAGTCTGTTAGATGGCTAGATACTTCGACATAAGCCGCTGCCGTATCTATTTCACTTGAAACAACCTCTATCTGCGAAATCAATGTCATGGATGTCTCTCTGGAATCTCTTAATCCATTAGAAGCAATTTCCAGAAGGTCTTGTGACAAGGATCCCAGTATAGGGGTTGCCCAAAGCCAAGCCAGGAAACAAAAGACCAACGCCATTGCGATCTGGAACAAGTTTAGTAGGATTTGACGTATGATATGGTAACTTGTAGGTAGAAATCAAAATAGGATTGTTTAGGTGAGATGACGAGGCTTGACTTTTATACATAAGTGCGAAGATGGGACCGCCCCTTGCGGTCCCCCCTATTTGACTAGCGTCTCCACTTTTCTGTATGCAGCTCTGCAACGTGCTGATGGCATGTAATCGGTGACACCTTTCATCCGGGTTACATGAAAGTTAACACTATGTTCATGTTCATATTTTTCATGCGTGATACTTTGATAAGAATTTCAATTGAATTGCCTATCTGTCTTTTAAGTTCTTGAGCCAGTTTACTTGGTTTTCTTCCTCATCATAATCGTGGCACTGGGATCAGGAAATACGTTCTCATCTACATACATATTTTCCGGTCTTGCTTTACCCTCTGGATATCTGAATTCAAATTCACTCAGTAGCTTTACCAACATAGCTTTAATTTCACCGACTGCAAAAGCCCTTCCGGGGCAGGCTAGCTTCCCGTATCCGAAGGTCAAGTTATTTATGTCAGTCTGACCGGCGAGGTGCTTGTTTCTTTGGTCTAGTTCTGAGTGACGCTTACGATAGCTCCTCATGGGGTCAAATGTGCTTGGATCCGGTGTCACACAGGGATCATTCAGGTGATCGTTCGCTGCCCATGAGATCCTGCTTCCCTTGGGAATTTCCGTCCCATCATGGAGCTTCAGTGGCACCATGGCCACTCTCTGAGGTGCAACTGGGGCCATTAGTTAGTCTATGAGTGGTAAAGATCTATTAGCAGTGAACTTACGGAGGATAGGTGGGTTGAATCTCTGACACTCGACAATGAAACTGTCTAGCTTTTCTAGTCGTGGCAACCATTCCTTTACCCCTGTTCCAGCGCCTAAAATGCCCAGCTCCACAGTGGTAACATAAATTTCATCGAGAAGTACTGGAAACCACTCGGGATGTGCACAAAGGTCCAATATGACATTAGTCACAGTCATAGAAGTTGTATGAATGCTTGCAAGTGTCAAGATACACTGGCGGGTTGACATTTCCAATGGCTGAAGTTCTTTCTCGTTAGCATGGTCAATCATCCATTCCAAGAGAGTATCGCCCTTGCTAATATGTTCTCCGTCCGACCCAGGGACCTTTTCTCTTCTATATTGAGCTATTGTAGGTGAAAGTATGTCCAGAGCCTTTTTCATTCTATTTCTCAACCTATACCGAGCAGGAATTAGAGGAGCAATAACCGCATGCAACCATGGCGGAAACCTGCGGAGGGTGAATGCTGTTGTAAAAGTATCGACAGGAAACTTGATGGCCAGTTCTAACCATTCTAAATCTCGACAAGTGGGAAGTCCTAAGAAGATTCTGGATGTCATTCGTGCAACAAGATTGCGCATCATTTGCTGTATGTCTACTTCCATCCATTCTGTGACATGGTTAACCTCTTTCAGCAACAAACCCTCACAACACCATCATACTTACCCTCGGATTGCGGTACATCGAGAGCCCATCCATATTCAGCCTCTTCTATAGCCATATCGAGATACTTCGGCAATTCCGCGGTAAGCTTATTTTGAAGCACGCGAAAATGAAGATCGGACTCCATCATAAGCGTCGTATGTGTCCATCGATGGACCAAATTCTACGTAATCAGGTATTGAGTCAAATTTCGTCGTCTTTTCAGAGTAAGTCGGATGTCCAAAAAGGTATGGCATACATCAATTTGGGCTCTTACACCACTGAGCTTGCTCGATGGGATTAGACGCAATTCGCCGAGATACTTGTGCGGCAATACTGTGATGTCCACGTCATAACGGCGCACAACAAACGGTTTATCCTTAAACTAAGAGCAATTAGAATATGTTGATAGAAGACACATACCGACGAGCGCCCACCTTGGCATAGCCACTCGATATAATGCCACGGGCATTATGTATGAACCTTGTTTGAAGAACAAATGTGGGCTCGAACCACCAGTGAGATCCATGGATTGGAATACAGCTTGTAGGACGTGAAATCAATATGAGCACCCAACAAAGAAAGAAAAAGGTAATCGCATATGTTGCAGAATATTCGGGGGCGGAATCACCGAAAGTATGGGTTTTGAGCATATCGAAAGTGTTCGAAACCATATTGCGGACGTTCAGCCGTGGTGTTTCTAGGGAGGCACGTAGTCGAGCAATTCCACTATGACACATAGTCCGTCAAAGAAGCCGAAAAGAGTCGTGGAAATATAAAAATAAAATTTTTTTTTTTTTTAAAAAAAAATAAATAAATAAATAAAAAAAAAAAAAAAAAAAAAAAAAAAAAAAAAAAAAAAAAAAAAAAAAAAAAAAAAAAAACCTCCGGGTGTAAACTTGGTTATTGGGATCACAGCTCGGCCGGTGTGAGAATAAGGGGAGGCGTAATCATGTGGTGGGGCTGGCGTTCGGAGAGCTGCAATGGGATTCCGCTCACCCTATTTCAGCAGGGCCGCCGATGGTACGATGCAATGTAACAGCCAAAAGCTGTCGCCGCTGCATATCTGGTAATTGTGCGGTCTCGGTAACGGAGCTGTTAGGTGCCTAGCAAGATTCCTAGCTCTAATTTGCTCGATTCACTTTCAGATTCCACTGACGATCCCTAGATTCTAAATGGGCTTTTTCGGATACTATCTGAAGTTGGATATATTGACAAAGTATGAAGATAACAATATGTCCTTATCACCTTTTCATTGCTACATAAATTACGAATTCTAATGACTTGCACATAATTCTACTAGCTGCTGCGGTCTTCTTGTCCCCACCATGGCTCTTATCGAGGACTTGAATAGCCACGGGAAGTCGTTAATACAACGAGCATGGAGAGGATATGACGCCGAATTTGGATTTGGTTCCTTCAGCGGAGCCATCTATGATACCGCATGGGTGTCAATGATCGCTAAACAAACTGACACTAAGAATTGGCTTTTCCCAGAATGTTTCCATTATCTACTAGACACGCAATCGGAGGAGGGAAGTTGGGATTCAGGTTCATCACAGATTGACAGTATACTGAATACAGCAGCATCATTGTTGGCCTTGAAACGACATTTTCGACAGCCCCTCCAAGTTATTGCAGTTCCCCAAGTGGATTTGAAAAAACGCATTGACAACGCAACAACAGCGCTACGATCCCGATTGACTTCATGGGACGTAGGATCTTCATCCCATGTTGGATTTGAGATTTTAGTTCCCGCTATTCTTGGCTATCTCGAAGATGAAGGACTCTTCTTCCACTTCCCAGGAAGGGACGAGTTGCTTGACCTTAATAAAGCCAAACTGGCAATGCTTACGCCTAAGGTGCTATACAGTAAAGCCAAAACAACCCTCATTCACTCACTTGAAGCTTTCATAGGCAAAATCGACTTTGACCAGATATCGCATCACAAAACAGGAGGGTCAATGATGGCTTCCCCGTCATCATCTGCAGCCTATTTGATGAGTGCAACAAGATGGGATATAGAGACACAGAACTACCTGAGCCACGTCGTTGGTCGCTATGGCAATGGAAGCGTACCAAGTGCGTTTCCTTCCACTTATTTCGAATTCTCTTGGGTAAGATCACGACCTGTCCCTTGAATGTAAATCGTTCAAGCTTTAACCTAACAGTATGATTAGATTCTCTCTACATTGCTAAGAGGAGGTTTCACCAGTAGTGACTTAGCCTGCCCTGAGTTGAACATGGTCGCCAACGTCCTTGTGGGGGCATTCCATCGGATGGATGGGGTAATTGGCTTTGGTATGCTCTTCACGACTTGTCCCAGTAATTGACTAACTTTCGTAGCTCCTTGTGTCGGAACCGACGTCGACGATACCGCAAGTGGTATCTTTTCCCTGAGCATGTTACAGCTTGACCAGAACAACGGAATAGAACGCATGATCGAGGTTTTTGAAGTCGATGCGCATTTTCAGACGTACCCGTCAGAACGAAACCCGAGTTTTACTGCTAATTGCAATGCACTCATGGCCCTTTTGCATCATAAGGACGTTGCTCGATACTCTTCTCAGATCCTCAAGACAGTCCAATTTCTATGCGATTATTGGTGGTCTGCGGACAATGGTATACAGGACAAATGGGTATGTACACCATCGAGATGTAACCATCATCATATGTGAGGAAAGAATATTGACCCGTAAGCATGACAGAACCTTTGCCGTTTGTATCCCTGTTTGCTCCTTGTTCAGACATTCTCGGACCTGTTCGCCCTCTTGGATGATCAGAAGCTTTGCAACTTATTCAGCCAACAAACTAAATCGAGAATGTCGATTGTTACCTTCCAGGCTTGCTATCGGACGATATTAGAACAAGACAGCAACGGTTCGTGGAATAAGTCACCAGAGCAATCAGCTTACGGTGTTCTCATCCTCTCAAAAGCCCGAATGTTGTCATTTCTGCAACCCATTCGACAAAACATAGATGATGCAGTGAATGCTGGTGTTGATTTTCTGTCATCTCTCGATCTTCTCTCGTTAGTACCAGACTATATTTGGACTGAGAAAGTCACCTACGCGTCCGTTTTCTTAACCTCATCTTATGTACTTGCCGCCTTGAAATCGGCGACATCTACATCCGCTTCGGCACAGGTAGGGCTGTGCTTCAACGGGGCTGGCTCTTGTGATTCAAGCAATTCAGACTACATAAAGCTCTTTCTCCATACACCCATGTTTCGTGACGTGGCCGAGTGGCATATACAAGCATCATATCTTGAATCCACTTTGTTTCGGCCCCTACTACGAGAGCGTCGACTTGACATCTTCCCCAGAGAAAACATGAATGAGGACAAGTATTTCGACATTATTCCTTTCACATGGACCGCTTGCAATAATCGCTCAGGCGCATTGGCCTCTGCTTCACTCCTCTGCGAGATGATGATCATTTCCTTCTTGAACTACCAGGCCGATGAGTTCATGGAGGCTGTGGCGGCACCATCGTTCGCCAATAACCCCAAGGGTCTTCGCGAGATCATCGAAGCTCTATTTTCTCCAAAGACTGCAAACGTTATAGGCTTAAACCTTAACTACGAAGCTGTTCGACCTCTATCGCAATTCATAACATATCTTTTGAATCATCCCCAAGTCACCTCCTCTAGTACCTGGGACCGCAAATGCTTAAAAAGGGAACTCCGTATGTTTCTCTTGGCACACGTCAAACAGGAGGAAGATAGCGCTCTATTCGCTTTGCAAACTCAAACTGAAACGTTTGATGATGTCGACGCCAGTTTCTTTTCCTGGGTGCGAACGACCTCGGCGGATCATACTTCTTGTCCCTACTCGTTTACATTCCTGAGCTGCCTGTTGTCCAGCGGAGTAAGTAGTGGTGATGAATCCTTTCCAAGTACAAAGTTGAAATACTTCGCCGAAGCAGCCTGTCGTCATCTAGCATCCATGTGCAGAATGCACAATGATTACGGCTCCATATCAAGAGACATAACAGAACGAAATCTTAACGCTATCAACTTCCCAGAATTTGAGTCTCTAGGAAGCGAAGACTCCTTGGATAGGATAGGAACGTCTCAAAGAGAGGCAAATGGCACGCTCAAAGTTAAGAAAAAAGTTCTTTTTGAGTTGGCAGAGTACGAACGGTGCTGCTTAAATGAAGCGTTTAGGCAGCTTCAAGAAGAATTTGAGTGCCCTCGTAGAGGTGTGACTGCCAGAAGAATAGGGCGACGTCATGTGTCGATTAGGAGAATGTTTTGCGATGTTACTGACTTGTATGGTCAGATATACTACATACGTGATATTGCAAGTCGGATGAAACCCTCGGTGTCGAATGAGACTAGTGGGGTGAGGATACGATAGCGAAAACTACGTCGAATGTTGGGATGCCTAAGGTAATTTATAGAATCTGATGTAATAGATTATGTGTACTAGGGCCTAACGAGTTATATACCTTGTACCTACCAACTTATACCTAGGTACCGAGGTAATTATGCGTCCACGACTTTGTAAAGCATAATCTCTTGCCAAGCCTGTTTATATCATGTGCGATGATATTGCCCGAACTTGTTCGGGATAGGGATATTAAGGATCAGGAAGCTCATCCATGTATCCCTAGGGTTTATGAGCTTAGGATAATTTGCCTACTTCCATAACCTTTTCGGAAAGGTACGCACCGTACCATTACAATAGCTACGGAGAGCCATCATCCATTTCGCTAATGTATTTAGCCATTGTAATAGTAGCAGGTGTTCGGTGAGTATGTCGTGGCTCGAGGATCCGTACGAGGTAAGCTTTAGCTAAAACGGCTGTAGCTAAACACCCGTGGTTAAGGGGAACCAAGTTGTCACGTCGTAGAGCATGAGGTAGGTAAAACAACGAAGTTGTTCTGCAAGGAACTCTAACTACAGTTGCTTTTAAGCCGAAGCTATATACAGAATAACTCCTTTGTTCCAAGGAGTCTCAAGTGAGACTCCTGACACGAGTGAAAGTTTGGGCTCTTGTGCTACCCGGAGGGTGGCCTCATGTTTATATCTACCTAGGTACCTATGCTTCCCCCTTTCCAAGTCTACCACTCGTGTCACTTTAGTTTGGTATGTCAACCCATGCTACAGTAGGGCCTTGTCATTCTTTTCCATATATCTTTGTTTTTGTCTCTTTCTCTTTTGGCAATCTTCGGGGTCTAGCAGAATGGTTCATCGATAGATAGTTTACGTCGCCGCATGAGCATTCTCGCCTTTGGGTCTGGATAAATATTCTCGTCAAATACCAAGTTGCGAGGCCTTCCCTGGCCCTCGGGGTACTTCAAATCATAGCGCAACAATATATGACCGAGTATCATCTTGATCAGTTGGCTAGCGAAGAATCGGCCGGGGCATGCAAATTTCCCGTGGCCGAAGTGGAGACTAGTACTGTCGGTCGTTGAGAACTGATACCGATGAACGTTTTCGGGATCTGACGGATCATCTCGTAATCGTTGCCACCGGAATGGATCAAAAGCGTCCGGGCTTCCACCTCCTGGAAGATGTGCGACATCACGAGAGATAGCGTTTGAGGCCATGCAGAAGTGCGTACCAGGCGGTAGTTTAGTACCGTCGGAAAGTTCAAGCGGAACCCGCGCGATACGGTTAAATGCGACTAATTCGTTATAGATCAGTCTACCGTCCATAAGGTTGTAGCCAAATTGTATATAACTCACTCAAGGCTGGCGGGTTGAGTCGTTGCGACTCCTTCATAAAGCTGTCTAGTTTTCGCATTTTAGGGATAATAGATTTATGCCAGCCGCCATGACTCCTCAATACTGAAAGCAACTCCTCTCGGATCTGTTCGAGATATCCAGGATAAGCACAAAGGTCATACATAACATGAGCTGCCGCCATGCCGGTTGTATGAGTAGTAGCAAGACTCATGAGGAGCTGTCTGTGTGCCAATTTATCTGGGAGGGCCTCGTTGGGGTATCCCAAATCCATCATCCACTGTAGAAGATCGTTATCTTGCTTATAGCCCTGTCTATTCTCGGCCTCTGCTGCACGACGCTCTTGAACGAGGGGGCTTATGAAACGCTTGCCCTCCTTGAGGATCGACCGCACACGCCAAAAAGCAGGAATAAGAGGTGCTATAAACCAATGCATATATGAAGGTACCATTCGCATGGTCATTACTAGCAAATGCACATTTTCCGTGTAGCGCATGCATATTTCAAACCATCGCTCGTTACGACAGATGACAAGACCAAGGAAGACACGAGCAGAAACCCGAGCGATAATCCGGCACAGGAGATCGAATACTTGCACCGATACCCATTCATCTTTACGTTCCGACAGTAAGCAAAAGACTTGGAGAGTGGGGAGAGTGGTGCATTCGGTCCTTACCCTGGCAGTTAGGAACTTCAACTTCCAACGCATACTCAAGTTCATCCTTCATTTTGGGGACAGCAGCCAACAGGTTCGGCGTCAACTTTTGCTGGATCACGCGTGTAGGCAAATCACTCTCCAGCATCATCTCCGTGGTTGAGTATGGACCGAAAAGATTTTTAATATGCGCTTCAAGGCCGTTGATCTTCTCCTCAGGCATGTTCCGGAGCCGTTCCAAATTGCTGTTTGGGATAACAAAAATGATTCCATCGTTGCGTCGTACTTTGAAGACGGTGTTCTTATACTACTACGTGTGAGCTTATCCAAATTATTTCTTTCCCGGAACAATTCTAGGCACCTTGTCATATCCATATTGGATCATTTGGGCACTATTGTGTATGAAACGAACCCCGACGAGCCATTCAGGTTCAAAGAAGAATCTTCGTCCAACTAAAGGGGCATTACTGCCACGGAGATAAAAGTGAAGAATGCTCAATACATACGCCCCAAAAATACCGGAAAGAGCTAGAATTAACTGTGGTTGGCTGGGAGATTCTACGCCAAACATCTTGAGCGATGGCATTTTTAGGTAGTATAATTGAAAGTTGTGGCGAATCTTGTAATGTGCAGGACTTGGCAGCGGCTCACTGTCATCTAGAGGCTATAAGAAGCGAGTCTCTTGTCACTCGAGGTACATATGATATTGTTATTTTTCACCTATCATATTGCCCTATCATATGTATGTTGACGGACTTCCATTTTCGGTTGTCCGCTCTGAATCTAATTGGAAAAGTACACACAATGGTACCAACAGATAGAATGATTGGGTGATCAGTCTTGGCGCTTCTTTCTTGATGGCCGCCGGCTTTTCTGGCAGTATAACTGTAGGGATGTGCATATTTGCTGCATATATGACAGGAGATAGTACATTAGGTAACCAACGAATAGACTGGCAAAAGAACTCACAGCTTTCGTACTTGGGTGCCGAGGTTGCATGCATGTTCGAGCTGAATGTAAGTTAACCATCTCCCTTGCTTACCACTGGCTCGCTCCTCCCCCCTTTACTCGGCTCGCTTCTCAGTCTATGTTCAATAGTTGTGGTCAAGGTCGAATTGCCAACCTTCTATATCATTTTACAACAGAATCTCTCAGCTCGGAGTAACCGACAATTCATTGCCTCTACTCGAAAATCATATTCACAGAAAACATGTCGTCTTCTCTACATTCCGGCAGCACCACTGATCCCGGCCGTGGTCCAACTATCGCAGGCGTGTCATGGACACTGACGTCTCTCTGTTTCATTTGCGTCGTAGCAAGACTTATTGTTCGCCATCGCCGACCGTCTAAGCTGGGTATGGATGACTTTTTGATATCGGTCGCAGTGGTACGTATCATACCATCTATTGCAACGGACAGATTTAGATAACCCAACATGATTTTGCAGGTTCTCCAAGTTCTATTCATGGGCTTCGTCACCGAGGCATTAAGATGGGGCGGCGGAATGAAGGACGAAGACTTAACTGAGGAGCAACATCGATATATCATCAAATGGTTCTGGATATCTACAACTCCTGCCATTCTGGTCTCCATTGTTGCGAGGATCTCGGCCGCCATGTTACTTATTCGTATCTTTGGTAGCAGGGAATGGTTCAAGTGGTTTTTAATCATCTTTACTGCCCTTCAGACTATTGCTGGGGCTATGACAATCATAACCACATGGACTCAAATTCAGCCGGTCGAAGCCCTTTGGAATCCGGCCGTTGCCCCGACGGTGGTGAGGGACGGCACTCTCAACGACATCGTCATCAATATATCTCAGTGTAGGCATCCCCAGCTATTTCCTTGCAAATTGATACTGATCACATCCTCACAGCATTATTCGCATTCTCTGACCTCTCCTACGTGTTCTTCCCCATTTTTATCATCTGGAAACTCAATATGCCCTCGCGAAGAAAGATTGGGCTAGCCATTCTGATGAGTCTATCACTTATCAGTTTCGTAGGATCTGTTATGAAGCCCGTGACAACGGCAGTTGCAAAAACTCAATATAGCTCCAGCTTGGTCATACTATGGTCTGCTATCGAACAAACTCTCATTATCATCATAAGTTGTGTGCCGGCATTGCGCTCTGTGGTCCTTGGGGAGATACCAGTCGTCCGTACCATTAGCAACTCAGTGGTACGACTTCTCACCTTTGAAAGATCAAGGAAGGGTTCAACATCGTCATCCGGTTCGCAATATCGCAATCTAGAAGCTGGACCTCACACTCCATTTCCATATAGATCGGATGACGTGACGCATACGGCATTGGCGTCCTCTGATCCTATCCATTCCACGGATGAGGAACAAGAGGTAGAAATGTCAAGCCAAGTTCAGCATAGGGATGACTTTGTGGTTACCTACAAGCCGGCATCTGGGGTGATGAAAAGCGGTTGAGATTCAAGCCGTGACAAAATTCAAAAGCAGCGGCAGCTACTTTCAGCGATTAAAAGTACTGCAAGGTCACAGCTATTCCACGAACTCCTCGATGGTAAAGTCTTCCAGTTCCTCTCGATGTTGACGATTTACATCGATTTATACGACTTCATTGGTAAGATACAGGTAGGTATTTAAGGATATAAGCTTGCTACAGCATGCCGCGGATTTGATCGGAGCATACTACGACAAAGGCGCGGGAGTGTTATAGCACGGTTCCTAGGCACAGTAAGAGAAAAAGAAACAGATTATGGATTAATTTTGGACAACTTCTTGACTAACAAGATTCTGAGCAGAGCGCTGCAGCATCTGCTATAAAGACTATTCGTGCGATTGGTTGATGAGGGGCTCACGCCACCTGAATGAAGTTTGTTATTACTACTTTCGTGGTTTCGCTCCTGAAGTTATTCGTAAACATGATCACCATACCCAAATGTGTTTGTTGAAGCATATAACATATGTTTCCCTACAGAACAACGAATGTAGATTTGAAAATGATAAGTGAGCAGCGCGGCACAGTCTGTGTAACCCTTAGATTAACTTTGCAACCACGGGGTTGGAATTTAGGCGTGCACCATATATAAAAGGAAAGCATGGAGAAACCACTCTATGAAATGTTAGGCTATACAGAAAGATTCTGTGAGACGTCTCCGTATGTCATCGACAAGTCTTTCGTGGGCTGGCCAATCGTAGTTATTAACCAGGTTTCCCAGGGTGGTGAGCAAGGAACGTAGCCTATCAATGCGTGCCGTGAACAAGCTATTTAAAACCTGGAGTTCGTCATCACCGTCAAGTTGCCAAAGCCCTATTTGTAAAGTATTCTTACGCTCTGGATCTCGATCATGATTCTCCCGGCCAATCTGCAGATGCTCCGGCGGGTGCCGGTTACAACTTCCATTCCGGGTGCTCATTAAGTATTGTCCAGGGTCTTGCGGAGTTTGAGCATGCAGTGAAGTTTGATGGCCTTGAGAGTGAGAAAAAGTTAATTTCTCCTGGTGTGAGTCCATGAATGATACGCGCGAATTCCCACGCTTTCTGTAGCTGGTATCGCGCTCTTGACATGTTGGAAGCATCATGACGAATGCCTTCTCTAGGTTACGTGCGATCTTGTCACACATAGACAAAATAAGCATAACGTAATCTGACTTTGTCCGACAGGACTGACAGTCAAGGAGATCTTCGCATTCTCTCAAACATTTCTTTTGATGCCGTAAGAGGTTTGCCGCCGTTCCACTCTGATGCTGCAAGGCAAACACTAGATTAACCTCAATAGCTTCGTGTGTGTGGATCGCTTGAAGGAAACACAAACACCTAGTGTTGGCTTTTTGGGTGGAAAATGTTTCAGTCGCCCTGCTAGCTATATCGGCAGCACCTCTAGAATCCGAGACCAGTGTTTGCAAATCAAAGTCGGATGGCACCTCGGAAGTTATCATTTTTGATGTGAATATTCCTAGGTCCTCTTCTACACCGGGGATATCCTCGAAGAAGGACTCAACAGTAAAGTCGAAGTCTGAGTGGAAATACTGACTATCACTAGTCGGGGGCGTCATAATGCCGGATTCCAAGCTAGGTGCTTCTGAAACAATGCCTGATCTCTCAGAATCGGTCGTTAGCCTGCCGTTTAAGGCTTCGGGTGATGCGTAGAGTTCATCTACAGTTGGGCCATCTTTCCCGACCTCCGACCGCGAGTCGCAGCTTGTCGTCATACTATTGATTCTAAGTCTATTGCTTTGAGTATTCGGATAACAGCACTCAATGTTCTGAGCAAGGCAACGCTGGCAGCCATATTCTTCGCCGGTACATTTCGCCTGCAAATGTTGAAAATCTCGTTAGAGAACGAAATTGTTAACGGGATCGGGTAATTGAATTCTCTGTGTGAATGTACGTCCATATGTGGATATATGGATCTTACCTTTCTCATTCGACATCGGAGCAGGCATTTCGAGTTATCGGCCCCTGGCGCTGCTGGTGGAAAGGAGCAGTGGTAAACTCCAATGAATATGGCTCATTGCTTGAATTCTTCTGTCTGAGAGTACCAAACATTGCAGCAAGAAATGAGATTGTAATGATTATACCGATCGCAAACTTGAAGGTGAAGCTCTAACAACACCCCAAAAGAAAGGAATGAAATAACGACGCTTGTAGGAATGCCCAACCTTAATATTGCTGGTCACCTTTATTGGAGTAAGACATATTCACGCCTATACACGCCAGCCTACCTCAGGCCCAATATGATCGCCGGATGTTGGGGGCAGAGGATTGTGCAGTGCATCCGACATACGTCGTGGTATTCGTTAGGGCGGAGCTGGTGATGTTGCCAGTCGCTATTCTTAAGCTTCCGCTGTAGCACGGTGAGGGGCACGTAAGGCTGTTGGCTGTTGGCTGTTGGCTGTTGAAGTGTTACATAGTAGTATGATGGTTGTAACTAAAACATGAGGCTACCCTTCGGGTAGCGCAAGAGCCCGAACTTCCACTTAGCACCCCCTATATTCTAGTGCTAATTGGGGGGCCATTACAGATCCAGCTCCCACAGCGCATTGTTGGCGCTTTTCATCATGGCACGGCGAGGTGGACTGTCTGGGTAAAGGAGTGGGTGTCAGTTCTTTTACATGACCCTGGGGGTTGTAAGCCGGAAGACGGATAACGTAAAATAATAATGAAATGGAGGCATCCTAGCCTCGGGGCCACATATAATTGATAAGAGGTATCAGATAACAAGTAGGTACCTGTTAAACCGCTTTAATAGATTTTCTCCGTTGTGCCGCCCCACTCTTTCCGCCATCTTCCGGCCAAATTGTTCAATTCTTTTTTTTTTTTTTTTGGAAGGAAACACCTACGACGGCTTCTTTCCGGTCCTTCCTCTTAAAAAGCCTCAAAACAGCACAAGTCCTTGCCGAAGGTATAACCAATTGGGCCTCTTTCGCGCGCCGTTCTACTCTCCTCTCAATCTGATTCCCTTCTTTCCTATTTTCGCTTCCCTGCCCAATAACCACAATGGCTGCCGCGAAAGCTGTTAATACGCCCGCTCAGGATAGCGGGATTTCTCTCTACTCCAAGTTCGCCCTTGCCGGTGCTATTTGCTGCTCCGTCACCCACGGCGCGCTCACCCCCATCGATGTGTAGGTGTTATGTTTATTTCCCCCTTGTGTAATCTACCTCGGGCCCGTCACGGTCAACCCGTAGTTCGTCTTGCTGCATTCCGGCTTTGTTTACTTGTATAAGCATTCTCGGCTAATACGAATTGCATACAGCGTCAAGACCAGAATCCAGCTTGACCCCGCTACGTACAACCGAGGTCTCTTTGGCGGCATCCGTCAGGTCGTCGCAAATGAGGGTGCCGGCGCCCTTCTGACCGGTGCCGGTCCTACCTTTGCCGGTTACTTCCTCCAGGGGGCCTTCAAGTTTGGTGGATACGAATTCTTCAAGCAGCAGGCCATCAACCTTATCGGCCTCGAGAATGCCTCGCAATATCGAACCGGCGTTTACCTCGTGTCGTCCGCCTTCGCCGAATTCTTCGCCGACATTGCCCTCTGCCCTCTCGAGGCCACCCGTATCCGTCTCGTCTCCGAGCCGACTTACGCCAGCGGCCTCGTGAGCGGTTTCAGCAAGATCCTCTCGCAGGAGGGTATCGGTGCTTTCTATGCCGGCTTCGGTCCCATCCTATTCAAGCAGTAAGTGTCTTCCCACCTCATTTCCTACCCGAGTCTACTCGGACACAGTTAACTCGACTTTCGCAGGGTTCCTTACACCATGGCCAAGTTCGTCGTTTATGAGAAGGTTGCTGAGGCTGTCTACCGACGATATCCCAAGAACACGTTGTCCGACGGCGCGCAAACCACCGTCAACCTGGGATCCGGTCTGATGGCCGGTTTCGCTGCCGCTATCGTCTCCCAGCCCGCCGACACCATGCTGTCCAAGATTAACAAGACCAAGGGTCTCCCCGGCGAGAGCACAACCAGCCGTTTGATTAAGATTGCCAAGGAACTTGGTCTCCGCGGCTCCTACAGCGGTATTGGTGCCCGTCTCTTCATGGTAGGGACTTTAACGGCTGGACAGTTCGCAATATACGGAGACATTCGTAAGCTATTAAACGTGAAAGGGGGGGTAGAAATTAGCAAATAGATGTCATGATAGAGCCAGGGAGTAGAGGATGGGGTCATAGAGTCTTCGGAATGGCATTAAATGTACATATAGCAGTTTTAGACTAATAGATGACGTAAGAGTCACGTTGTGTTCGTGTGCCATATTGCTCTAGGTATGCCTGTGACCTTGCTTGGTACTTATCTCAAATGTGACAGGAGAGATTCAAAGCTCGAAAGATTCTTGACTTTCCGTAATACATATTAGTAAGGTTGTGTAATTCGTTTAGCGGGATCGTGATAGAACTCCGGTAACTAATCCCGCTTGATACTATGTGGCTATTAAAAAAAGCATTCCTTGAAACGGAAAAGATGTCCATCATTCTTTTGTTCAGATTCTAGATGGAATACCAGGTAGGAAAAAGAGTATTTCCAGTATATAAGTCTTTGGTCATACCTTTCTGTGGCTAAGCTAGGTAAAGCTTTTTGCAAAGCGCTAAAGCCGTTACCATGCTGGTGAGTTGCGCGATTTGAAATAAAACCGACGTAAAAAATATATCATACCTACGTATCTTGCAACGCTTCTCTATTGTCACGGTACAACCATGTGAACCCCTGGTGGGGCGCCACAGGTGTATGTGAAATACATAGATGAAGGACCTCTTGTCCTTTTCTCTTTTCTCCTCGTCCTAAAAACTATCTTGTCTACCGAAACCTAACATATATCATAAGCTAATACCTGATATAATCTCTCTATGGGTTACCACCCTTTTCATCAGTTGATTTGGCAAGATTATAATTTCTTCATACGCTTTAAGTTACAATCAATTTAGAACCTCACTCTACTCGAGGGGTTGCTGTTGCTATCTCCACTTATAGGGACTCCCTCACAGACAGTACTGTGACAAGATATATCCTGTGTAATATCTAGGCAGGTAGTCAATACCAAACTACATACATGCAAACATGCGTTGGTGCCTAGGTAACCATGGTATGCGCTTGGCGATGCTTGCCCTAGGTTGGGTAGGCACACAATGGGTTGTCCTGAGAAACACCAACAAGGTAATCACGTACATTTCTGCCAGTCCCTTACTGTCAAAAACAACTCTCTCCGCCCCTCACAGAAACTACCTACCTATATAACGAAACCAAAATCATTCAACGCAGTTACTACCTACGTACACTTCTCGTTATTCCGGTTCGCAGGCTTACTTGCGGTTAGTAATTATCTGACGCGTCAATCGTGATCGACAGATTCTAAGTACGATTTAACTTAGTCGTCGTCTACTTCAAGATGCAGCTTAGTACCTGTTGGGTTATCCTCGCATCTTTCGTCGTCATTCTGATTTGTGCGCCGGCTGAGGTCCATGAAGGCCACCCTACCCTTGGCGAGGCTTCGGGTGGGACCACGAGCGAGCCCTTCACTCCTTATCCGAATACAAGCCAAACCGGGCTACCGACTGAGTCGTTCTCTCACTTCCCAACTATGTCTTTTGCGCCTTATCCCGACGACCCAAAAACATCGTCCCCCATCTCTTTCGTCAAATCCGCTTCCAGCATCGATAATAACACCCCCATCAAAGATTTCCGCCTCCAGTGCAGCAGCAACAGCTTGGGGCTGGTGGAGTCTCAAGCTAGGCCAGGGATTTACTATCTTCGAGGTGTCTGTAGCGGCAGGTATAATGACGCTCATGCGTCACGCTGCTCCTTTCTGGACCTTAGCATGTAAGTATAATACGTCGCTCTGAAATATCCTGCGGGATGCGCAGTATTATATATACTAACTATAAAGGTGTTATGCCAACGATGGGGGAAATATACTTCCTCGGAAGATGGGAAACTTCTTGGCTTCCTGCGAAAGGTGTGTTCTCTACATCTCCCACGGAGCGGATATGTTAGCTTGTACCTGTGGAAGAGGCGATCACAACGGTGGAGGGACGCAGGAGAGTGCGGTTCAACTAGGTAAGTTTTGCTGTAAAGCAGGTTGCTATTGGTGAAGCAAGGCAAGATTATTGACTTTCGATTCAGACAACCTGCTATACGTGAAAAATGGCTTCTTGAGTTGCCACGGCTATACCAATTTTGAGTGCCCTGAGGTGGACGAACCGTTCTAAAACATACCTGTGTTCGACATTTCGCAACGATCAAAGTAATAACTAGGTGCCTAACTGCTAGTAATGCTGAAGCCTTAACTTCTCAATATCATTTTCGTGCCAACTCTTCTTGTACTTTTTAAGCCTCATAGATTTCCACGTTTGTTAATGATATTGGACCGTTCCGGCAACCGCAGCCCTCGACAAGGAAGATTATAGGTACCTAGACCTACCAAGTAATTTTTAAAAGATCGTTAAGTAATTAGGTTAGGTACAGGTAGGTAGGCTTTCCGTGAAACGGACATAGAATAATATGCTCGGACCGGCCCGGACTTCAGTGGGTCTGTCGGCTGGACCTAGAACTGGCCGAAATTAACATCACCGCTTAACATCCTTTGCTAATACCTGTACCTGCATAGTAGGTACTTTTTTACACTTTGCCGTTCTATCTAACGCTCGCAACAATTTACTGCTCCTTTATGATTCTCGAGTACCTACTATATGTACTAAAATGTCACTCCAAGATCGAATGATGCAATATGAATCTGTATTCGATTCGAAGTTGCCGATCTCATCTCCGATCGTTCTGCATCTGGATGGCCACTGCTTCTCACGCCTCGCGGCCCAAACATGCTTCCAGGGGCCTTTCGACCAACGCATCCATGATGCCATGGTCGCTACTTGCTCTGACCTTTTACTAAACATGTTCCCTAATTCTACCGTCGCCTACACACAATCCGACGAAATCACTTTGGTGTTTCCTAAAGGCAACTCCGAGCTCTTTGCCCGACCTGTACAGAAGCTCGCTGCTCTGGCTGCTGGTTATTGCAGCGTACGATTCAATGCGCACCTTTCAGCTTTCTTAACCCCAGATCTCGGAGGTCGACTTCAAGGCGGGGTCGAGTTGCTTGGTACCGTTTATTTTGACGCACGGTTTTTTACCGTGCCAAGCATCGAGGAAGCCCTCAACTATCTGCTTTGGCGGCGTTCTGGTCATGCGGTACCGAACTGCATCAATGCGCTTGCAGGTACGCTTTTTGATCAAAGCGATATACGTAACAAGGCTTGCGAAGAACTGGTGGAGATGATGCGTCGCGAGAAGAATGTCGTCTACGAAGAAGCTGTGCCTAGATGGGCAGTCGAGGGATGTCTCGTGAAGAGGGAGTTATGTCGCTACGAGCACCCGCACGCTCAAACAGGCCAGGCGGATGAAGCGTCCGTGATGACTAGTCATACGAGAGTAGAAGAGAGGGGGGTTAGAGAGTGCACCACGGAGAATATACGGCTGGTAGAAGAAAATTATTGGAATGATATTGATTCCTCTTCACTTCCTAGACGGATAGTTCCCGTTATGGTTGACAACGGCGGTGTTTCCACGGCAAATACGACTGTCTTCGGCCCCAACGTGTACGTCTTCGATCCGGCGATGCCAGCAGCTGACGTTCAAGATAAAGTAACGGCCATATTCAAGCAGATGGAAGCTAACGAGTTCGGCACGGAGAGATACGCACTTCTTTTCAAGCCAGGTATCTACAAGATATTATTCGACGTGGGCTTCTACACTCAGGTTGCGGGGCTCGGTCAAAATCCGGACGATGTCTTGATCGACGGCGGTGCCAATGTGCCAGCTTACTGGATGCCGAACCGCAACGCTACATGCAACTTTTGGCGAGCATTCGAGAATTTTTCCGTAAACGCCTCGGCGGCAACCAATCATACTACGACGATTGCCGTGTCACAAGCCGCGCCTCTTCGACGTATGCATGTGCGGAGCTCTAATGGCCTTTGGCTATTTCAGGTCGACCCGGGCACGGGAGCCGGAGGTTGGGCTTCGGGAGGGTTCATGGCCGATTCGGTAGTCGACAACCAGGTACTTCCCGGCTCGCAGCAGCAATGGCTATCGCGGAATAATCAATATGGCAGCTGGGCCAACGCCGTGTGGAACATGGTATTCGTAGGCGACTCCAATGCGCCCAGCCAAGATAACTTCCCAGCTTCCGCATATACTACTGTGGACCAAACACCGATCATCAGGGAGAAGCCTTTCCTTTATATCACTGCCCAGGGAAACTATGAAGTTTTCGTACCTGCGTTGCAAACTAACACAAAAGGGCCCAGCTGGGCGAATGGGTCCACAACTCCTGGCGTGTCTATCCCTATTGATCGATTCTACATTGCCCAACCCTTCACGTCCAGTGCCGCAAGTATCAACTCGGCCTTGGATTCCGGGAAGCACATCATCTTTACTCCAGGTATTTACAAACTCGACAGCGCCTTACGCGTTTCGCGGTCGGGTACTATCGTCCTCGGGCTAGGTCTACCCTCGCTTATCCCAGTCTGCGGCCAACCGGCCCTAGCTGTTGAAGACGTGGACGGTGTGACACTTGCGGGTCTCATAATTGACGCAGGCGAGATCAGTTCACCTACCCTCGTTGAGGTCGGGCCGTCGAATAGTTCGGCCAATCACGGGTCAAACCCGACGTTCCTCTACGACTTGACGATACGGACGGCCGGCCACAGCAGAAATGAGGTTGGTATTACGATCAACAGCCGTAACGTCGTCGGTGACCAGTTGTGGCTGTGGCGCGCGGATCACGGCGACGGCGCAGCCTGGGACGTTAATCCCACGAGCAACGGCGTGGTGGTTAACGGCGACGACGTTACTATATACGGTCTATTCAACGAGCACCACAAAAAATTTCAGACGGTCTGGAACGGAAACAATGGCCGACTCTACTTTTATCAATCAGAGATTCCTTATGATCCACCGAACCAAGAGTCCTGGATGAGTAAAGACGGGAAGGCTAATGGGTTCGCCTCGTACAAAGTTGCTGATGACGTTACTAACCACGAAGCATGGGGGCTAGGCATCTACTCTTACTTCCGGGATTCACCTACAAAGCTGGAGAACGCCATCGAAGTTCCGGAAACCGAGGGCGTCAGGTTGCATCACATGACCATTGTGTGGTTGAACGGAGTGTCCGGTAGTGAGATTACTCATATCGTTAACGGAGTTGGCGGTCGGGTTTATGCAAACCAGCCCGAGTCTGCTATGCGCCAAACCTTGAACGAGTTTTCAGGCGGTAGAAGATGATGATTTGAAGTTGAGCCATCCAACGAGCTCTTCCGATGGTTTCGGAGAAGCTAGTTTTAGGCTCGCCTCTGTTCAGCAAGGGTTAAAATTCGAATTAACTAGTTGATGTCTACTAGGTTAGTCACTGATGGCTCTAGCATTGGTTATAACTTAGCAGCATCTAGATATTTCGTCAGTTTAGCTCTTGGTCACGTCAGTTCCGCACGAACATGCAGCGGATAAGCATAACCAAGACACGTGAAATGAGATGTCGGGTCATCCAAGGGCGTGTCATGCAGCGGGGATATCAGAAAGGATATCTTAAAAGGCACATAGCATGACATGCAATACCTATTCCTCCAATATGTGGTCTGAGTGGGAAGGGTAAAGGAATTACATATATCATATGACACATGTAAAGCTTGAACACTTTGAATGGGACCACTTCGAAGTTTAGACGTTATCGCCGATGTCTCGACGGACGAATGGGGGAGGTCCGAAGAGCATTGGCTCAAGCTTCGAAACCCCAGGAACGCCGAATGCAACACGTCTCCAGTGTGGGCAGACGCCCCCGCGGTTCCGGAGTTACCCACGAGGATAGGGTCCTAGGCTTGCAGCTCATGTACATGTGCATATATTGTCAGCCAATTTTGGGCACCAAGTATGCGTGACGATGCGTTGCAGTTGATTGCATTGTGGCTTTGGGTATTTGAAAATGCTAATTACGAATGTGAAAACTCACAAGCAAGACGGCTTTGTATGCTCTTGTCTCGAGAGTATTGAGTAGCTACGTCACGGACTTTTAGCATCTAGGTATATTCGGATCTTATGGAGGGGCTCGTGTTATGAACCCTTATAGATCTGTGCCATCCTAGACAAAGAGCGTATCGACTTGCACCTAACCTTAATATACCTATGATATAATCTTGTTCGTAGGATTATACGGGTGTCTACGTGACGTGTTTGTACGACTTCTCTTCCGTGACGGGAGAGCGAAAAAAAAAAAAAAAATGTTAATTGGTTCTTGTAAACTCGGCGCCACGAACGAGTGGGATAGGTATCTCGATACCCCGTACAGAAGAATAGGTACCTAGGTACCTAATGTTCATTGAAACCACCCCTGCAAACCCAATAGGTGGGTGGCAACCGTATCCGTGGAAAGATCTCACCCCGAGATTAGGAATTAGAAAGAAAAAAAAGAAAAGCGCTTTGAAATGCAATTGGCAATTGGCAATTGGATTTGGACATGAAAACTAAAAGAGTCCGAAAATCGCTGTAATTTACCTGCCCAGGTGGCCATACGAAGATCGGTCTCCACCGATAGCTCCGGAAGTGGTACGATAGCAGGACTTATGGGCGTATGGGCACTTACAATCACAGCGACTTGCAGCTTGTTTACTGCAGTAAAATTCACTGTATTGTATTGCATACATCGCGCTAACACACTAGGCGCTGATCTAGTCGGGGTACCTAACCAGTCCCATCCCACAACTTAAGTTGGACTAAGAACTCGGAAATATCAAGGCTCGAACTTCCATATCACTTCATTGTTTTCTTCACTGTTCGATCTTTCGATCTCTATGTTTTCTATTTGAAAAGCAAGTACCTAGAAAAGAAACATAATCATCCAACACTCTGCCGTATTCGATATTATCTCCCATTGCATTGCTCTACTAGCTCTGTCGAACCTTTACATTTTCACTCTCCGGAGTCCCAACACAAAGTCCGCGCTCTGCCGAGATAAAATTATCTCTTCTATTAATTTATAACGCGGAGGGGAAGGCATTTTTTTCCTCTTATCAACGCCAAATTTCCCTCAATTAAACCACCTACCTTCAAAATCAGCCTTCTATATTTCCAGTCCCAATCGCAATGTATGCCACACGAGTTCTACGCCAGGCAGCAGCCCACGCCGAGCGCACTCCCTTGATCCGATTTATCGGCAAGCGATCCGTGCCTAGTATGTCCTCTACAATCCAATATCGAGGCGAACCTTAGCTCTATCCGCCGTTCTTCTACTGGATAACCTCGCTAACCCGAATTCCTCTCCCGCAGAAAATGTAGATCACACCCCGCAACCGCACCCTGCTTCCCCCAGCGGTGCCCTCCCGTCTGGCTTTAGCAACGGCAACTCCCACTCGTCTTTCTCCTCGTATCGCGACCACGCCCAGCAGCATGGTCCTCTACGTAAGACTATCGGCGCCGCTGGTAGCATTGGCGCCCAATCCGCCGCTCATCTGGGCCCCGTTGAACCTTCGAAGGGCGTGTACTTCGACCGCAACGAGCTTCCCGAGCGCTTCCGCCGCGTCCCCCTCACCGCAGCCGAGATCGAGGCCATTGAGACCGGCGGCGCTGCTCTATTCGGTTGAGTTTCCGCCCCGTCGCGGTGGGCGCAAAAGGCGGTTACAGCCGTACAAGTGTAACAAATATACGACGTCTGACTTGCCGTGATCTCAGTGTTGGAGCAGAACGGCTGGAAGGCCGTATGCTTTACTACCGGCGGGTTATGTTTTGGTGCCGTTTGATAATGAACGACCTGAAAAGCGCTGAGCCACAACTTCCTCGGTGTGACGAAAGATTCGAGTGGATCAACTAACACACTGGTTATCCATCAGCTGAATGAGGGGCTTCTATATTCTATGTAACATGTCACTGGCTTTGGAAAAGCGAGGGAGGGCTCAACAGCTATTCATTCCCAGCATTGGAGGCTCGTTAAATTGCTCTGTTTCTGTGCAGTCGTTGTCATAAAGGGTTTAGCATGAGTTTGGCGCTTCTGTGTTTATTATGTGGGTTGTAGAAGAAAGGGGCAATGATAGCCGAGATGGCAGTTCGTAAGAAACAGGATACCCCGAGGTTGTACGGAGGATAAAGCTGCCCTCTTTTTCTTATGGTGTCATATGTACGCTGTTACTGAGAGACAAGATGCGGTGGGATGATTATGTAAATTACCCGGTTCCATCAATTGTATCGGAATGTAGATCACTTGTCTGAAAAACGGGCCACTGGGAATGAAAGTTGTACTTAAAATCATGAGCCAGAAGCTACAAAAATATCGTCGCGATTCAAATAGTCTTCAGCACTCCCGGCCTTTTCGTCTCAGCTAGGGTCGTACTAGGTACCTGTTACTACATTAAGAGTTAAGGAGGAATATTTTCGCCTCATCGCCAGTAACGTCCCCAAATAGCATACTCCTCTTTCGTGCCGCGGAATTTGAAATCGACCTCGACTATGTCTTGAAACCCTTCTTTAGCTTCGGGCTCCTTGAAGCGAGAGAAGTATCCATTAAACGCGAGACGAGGCAGTGCTGTGCGGGCTTCGGGATTCATCTGGAAGTGGTAGTTCGTTAGCAATAATTGACGTGTTTCTACGCGCTGCATGTTTACGAAGTATGCCAATGCAAATATACACGTACCGGCTTGTTGAGGGCCCGGACTATATCATTATGCTCGCAGAGCGCCTTAGGGACTTTGAACCAGACGCAACGAATGGGCACGTTGTGCTTCCGTGCGAATTCGACCCATTCCTTCCTACCGTCCGCATCGGCGTTCGTATTATCTTGGGATTTTTTCTTAGCATGCAACATTTCTAGACAATTTGCAGCGGATAAACAGGCGGAAGACGATAGGGTTATATGACATGAGAGGGGAAATTTCTTACCGATCGCTACTGAGCTCCCTTGGCTGAGAAGATCCCCAGCAGCCTTGAAGCACTTGGCACGGCTTTTCAGTACATCCTGATTAACGCGTTCGTAACCTAGAGGCTTCAAGTTCCGCCAGTAGAACGTGCTTTTTCCAGCGCCAGGGGGTCCGCAGAAGAGGACAATATCCTGTTTATTAAGTTTCTCGAACAGTACTTCGTTACCCCCATGGTCACCAGTGCTCTCCGTATCGGAGTACGGGAAAGAAGCGAGGTCAAAATCTCTTGTAAATTCTCGCGGCGGCTCGCCGAGGAAGAACTCTTCTGGGGTCAGGTAGGCGATGCCGACGTTATGTGCGAAATTTCGATCCGAACAACTGAAATCTTTCGCGGCGGCTGTACCTCTCCCACTGTCTTTCAGTTGCGCTGTGCGGCCACCTGCGTCGCCCACAAATATGCTACTCGCAAGATCGATCTCGTCGTCGCGTAGGCCGTAATCACGACAGACTTCGGACCACATGCCGGTGCGCGGCTTGCGGAATTCGTCGTGACCCGTAGCAGCGTATATAGCGGTGGGCAAATCGAGTTGGGCGAGCACCGCGCTGGACTTTTGTTTGAAATTATCGACTCTGGCTTTGCTGCCAGCCTTCGGCGCTTTAGATTTGGGATCCGGGTGTAATGTCAGCCCGGCTTGGTTGCTTAAAATCACGACCTGGTAGCTAAGACGTGTAAGCGTGACAAGTCCGACGTGGTGCTAATGACCGTAGAACAGTATAGTTTCCAGGTAATCAAGTCTTATGCGCGTACTCTTCTTCGTATAGCTTCCGTAACCGAGACGGCACGTCTGGGGCCCACCACTTCCAATCGTTGGGGTCGTCCGTAAATTTCTTGCCTGATACCGTGGTTATAAGCGTTGAATCCTGAGCTAACCGTCAACCTTGAGCATGATTGGTATTCGTCAAACCCGGACGAAGGAGAGAGAGAGGGGGAGTGGGAGTGGGAGTGGGAGTGGGAGTGGGAGTGGGAGAGAGAGTCGGCCCATACCATATCGAACGCGGCTATCTTCCTTCTTTTCCTCCGAGCGGACTCCTCTACCTTCTCAGGCTCATACCGGCCAACAAGTAAAGTTGGCGACGAATCGCTACTATCGGGCGCGCGCTCGGTCCAGGTCGTCCGGTCCTTTGGTTTCTGAGACGTCGGGGTGAAGAAAGCAGCCACGGCATTTTCTAGCAGTAGTAATATAATTAGCACCAGCATCAAAAGGATGCGTTTGATCGGGATGCACATAGGCCACACACGAACTTGATATGTTACTTTGGGTTTTACGCTTTAGAGGCGGAGGCGATATGGATTTCTCTAGCACTTTCCGTTTGCTAGGATTCGGATCGGACGATGCCATTCTGTAGGATATTTGAGGATAGCCCAGTGTCGTGGGTACGATATGGAAGATGTTTGCGCGTGTAAGTGGTTGAGAGAGCTTGAGTTTAGGGAAGTTAATGCATACATGTATATTGGCATAGTATATGGAGATATACGATGTACATGTAGGCAATGAAGAGGTACCTCCGCAATACCTGTTAAGCCACATTAGGATTAGTAAATATAGGTACCTACCAGGGTAGATACTAAATACCGTGTACTTGGATCGGGTACGGTATTCTACAATTTGGATGCTATAAGATAATATCTAGGTAAGATACCTGATTTTAAATTGGTACCTGATATAAATGTTCTCTTCTAAAAGGTATAACAAGTACGGGTTAGAATTGCTTTATATTCTATTTGATAGGTTACACGATATTTTACGGTATCCGCATATGTGGATAAGGTTAGGTACCTTAGGCTGGGTATTGTACCTATCCAGGCATCCCAAAAGAAAAGATGTGCTACCGCTAAATTCTTAGTACGATTTAAGCATTTCTGACGTTAAGGAACCGAAACAAGGAAACAACCACGCGTCTATTAGGCGCATGAGCGGAGGGATTCTCCACCGCGCGGGTTACATATTGGGTATAATTAAATGTACAACCACGTAGGGTACCTAAGACGTATAAAGTAAAGGCCTAATACATATATATGAGGTACCTAGGTAGAATATAATTAGATTAGGTACCTATACTGTTAAGGTATACGGTACCTCTCTCTCAGCTGGTCATGCCCTTTCCTTGCCTTACCCCTCCACCCGAGGTATCAACGATATCGATCATTATTACAACGTATCAAGATTAAAATAACCTCAAAAGTGTATTCTTTTTTTATTTTCTCCCTTTCTCTCTCTCTCTCCCTCTCCCTCTCTTCCCTCCCGCGCCATGTTGTCGCCGTCTTCCCCGACTGGCGAGACATCCAAGTTTATCAACCTTCCCTATACAATTCGGCACCTAGTCTACCGTTACGTAGGTCTACCTACAAGCACTTTTCTGTATCTAGACACCCCCCGGTCCAGCCGTAGTCCCTATAGTGGAACGCACCAGGAACTTGACGCCGTACTCAATCTCTTGCTCGTCTGTCGAGCTATTCACGTTGAAGTATCCTCGCATCTATACTCCGCTAATACCATAGTCACCCACAACTTGGGCCCTCTTATAAGGCTCAGCAAATCTTCCCTTTCATATCTCACCTCCCTAAAAGTTCACTTGAACGTTGCTGGTACTACGCACTGCGGACAGAGGTATTGGGGGTATGATAGTGAAGGCCTGAAAGAATCCGACCCCCTTATATCTCAGTGGAAAGCTGCGATAGGCCATATTGCTCCTTACATTAAACCCAAGCGGTTGGAATTGGCACTCATCTGCGACTGTGAGCCTGGACGGGTGAATGCTGCGAGTCTCATACTAGCACCTCTTCAACAACTCCCTGTCCTAAGGAGATGTCATATTCGGCTAGGGTGCAGACCTGACCGTCAATTTCGTCAGCTCGCCTGGAGTGCCGCTGAACGTGCCGTCGGCCTAGCACCGCCGTCCACGTTTCACTTTCTGCGCCTCCCACCCGAGATACGCATCAAGATCCTGGAGTATACAGATCTTGTGACGCCCTTCAATAAGATCCGATGGAATCCAGGGGCGGGATATTATACCTTTAGAGAGTGTGACTCTCGTAAGTACGGTCCTCCGTATTGCCACCCAAACGACCACCGAGCTTGCGTGCTAAGCAGGGACGCCGGCCAAAGTTGCCTGACATGTCCTCATGGCGATAGTAGGGTACGTTATGGGCCCGAGTCGCACTGTTGGCGATGTTTCCATTACGCCTGCCAATTTTATGATTGCGAAAGACGTAGCACGGCGGGCGATCAGACCTATACTGGATGCTTCTGCTCCCGACGTCACGCTGCCTATTCGCCTCTCTGTCAATGCTGGGCTCCCCCTACTGCTTTCTTTCTCGTTAGTCGGGCTTTTCGAGAGGATGCCGAGGCTGTTTTCTTTGCTCATAATCACTTTGTCGTCCGGACCTTTTGTTACCACATCCGCCCGTCCACCTTCATAGGCAATGCAGTGGCACCCCCTAAACAATATCCGGGATGTGAATTCCTTAGCACCATACCCATTGAGGCGATACGACATCTGCGGTCCCTTGAAATAACATTTGACGATAAATGTCGCCTGACCCGCTACGTCCAACCCCCGCTTCGCCCTTTTAGTACCGTTAAGGACAGGCTCAACCTGCAATTTCTCCAGATTATAGCTCTGCTGCTACCGGCCAGAGGTCGACGGATGGGCATCGTAGCCGCTGAAAAGGGTGTGGATTATGTGGGGGATCTAGCAGATAAATATTTATGGCCTCTCAGTCGTGTCGATCTTGTTTCTAGGGTGCGAACACTTATCGTAGAGATCATCGACGTTGTTCCAGATATATTTTACTATTTGCGCTCGCCGTCGAACGAGTTTCCAATTCATATCCAAGGCCGCCTGCTTTATTCGAATTCGCACACAGCTCGACTAATAACCAGCAATACAGGTGGCTCTCGAGGCACACTAGGCAATAGGACCTCTTCCATGCACGAACGTCAGCTGATAGAGGGTTTCTGCCTCTATGGTGATATAACCTATCACGAGTTGGAGTTTTAAATGTACGCACCGACAATATTGAAGATCATGATAGGTCTTGCTCCTACTCTTTTCTACGGTGGGGAGACTCATGGGAAGCCACCTTGGATGATGGGTACCTACCGAGGTAGATACCTACGCAACTGAAAGGTAAGCTGCTACTAACATTGAGCCGCATATATCTCTGTACTTAATTTTCGTGTTCTTTTCTGTTACTAGGTAGCCACAAGAATCTAACCAGAGCAGAGTTGCGACCTATACAGAAAGAGATTATATGTTGTAGCCGCCCCAGCAGCAACGACAAACGGCATGTAGTATCGTGTTACTGTCTCGATTCTAATTGGATTTAGAGCACTAGACTCGGTGCATTGGCATTTATTGCCGTCAGGTTTCATGGTATTGCATTTGCCTTAGTAGGTGTAATTAGGATGCGTGGTACTAGTATGATAGGCGAAGATTAAACTATACGCAACTTTACTCGCAGCATAATTCATTTAATATAGTAATTCAGAATACAGCGGGAGCCCTAAGACTACCCAGGAGGTAGGTTAGGTAGCTGCCTGTTATCTTGAACTCCATACAGTATAGTTGCTAGTTGCTACGACCATCAAGGAATAAGAGTCTCACGTTCGGATTCGAGAGCCGCTCGTGTCGGTAAGACATTGTAGTCTTTACGTTATAGCAGAATGCAAGGATAAAAGCATTAATGATAGTAGTTAGATCCTGATGGGCAAACATTCTTTAAACATTATTAATGTCCGGCAGACTTTATACCGCTAGTAATTCTACGGAAGCCGTCAACATGGTCCGTCACGAGATGTAAACTATGGAAGATGAGACAACTACCTCGCAGTTCCGCGAGACTCCAATCAGGTTAGGTACCTACCTAGGTAGGTAGCTATAGACGCATATGAGGTACCCTGATCCGCCATAAATATGTCGATAAATACTTGGTCAGTATTTTGCTTAATTAGGTACCTGGGTAGGTAAATCTATGGTAGCTCTATGCCTTGCACCTTGTTAACCTTTCAAGGTTACCTACCGTGTCAGGGGCATGGGACACTAGGATGGTACGGCATACATCACGTTATCTCTTTGACACCTAGAGGTATCGAGCAACGAGGTCCATGTTAGGTTAGGAGGTAGGTAGAGGATACCTAAATTAACACAATGAAATCTAACTCAGCAACGCTCTGTATGGCTTTTGAATGACTTCAGCCGAGTCAGCGTAATATGCGGTGCATGCGAAGTCCCTATACTGAATCACGTTGTAAGCAAATTATAAGTACCTCAGCTATCTTTTCCCAAGAACAACAAGAGCAGCTACCTACCTAGGTAGATTAAGGCCATTGGTGAACCTATGAGGACCGTCTTTACGTGGTATATCGGGATATTAGAAGCAAACATCATAGCACTAGAAATATCTAACTCAAAGTCAAGTACTTGTTCTATATCAATAGGTGCGCCGTTGTGATATGACTTCGTAGAAAAAGTCTAACTACCTAGGTACACAGCGACTCTACCAACCAACCTCAAATATCGAAGGTGCCTCAATCAATCTATAGGTGCGCGGAGAGATGCGGACGAAATTGTTGAGCACCTTCCTAGGATTTTATCACATACCTCGTGATTTTTTTTTTATTCCCGTAGGTATAATCTTGATATTTAAAGTAGGGGGATAAACACATTCAACTGGTGCCCACTCCCCTTGAGGTTACAAGACCTTAATTCTCGCATTAGTGTTGTGCCATTTTTAGGGTCAGCAACCGGAGATTTCTTAAGCCATATCGATAGGTACCTACTTATAACAAGATAACATATCTATTCGTCGAATCAAGTAGTGTATAGTTTTCTGTAATATTGGTATAGTTACATCTGATCAAGGGCTCCCTCCACCTCCCCCGCTCTCCCCACATCCTATGAGTCCCGTCATGGCTTGACCCGGGTGACATACAGGCGGCAAATTGCATTGCCGAGGAGTGGTAGCTTGAATCTATTCAATGTCGGGTTAGGAAGGTATTACGTGGTTCTTACTGATATACAATTCGGTAGGGCAGTATAAATCTAGTTCATTCTACGGAACGAGCTTACCAGGAGGCGTTTGGGGAGTTTGGTCGTAACCCAGAAGGAAATCATAACTACCTATTAAGAGTGCTATGGAAAAGTTCAGCGAGGAAGTTGAATCTCAAGGGAGGATGGTAACAGAGGCGCCAAGGCACCGCGGCCTTGATGAAAATCAGGTTGCCTTGTTTAGACAGTTCTCAGCGGCGAGCCCAGATTGGCATCGTAACATAGCCACGAGGCTCACTCGGAAAGTCGATCTTCATCTACTTCCGATGCTCATGTTGATGTATATGCTTAACTTCCTGGATCGAAGGTAAGCCATGAGTAGACCCTGCTCCAGATACATTTTGAGACATATCTAATAACGTGGAACAGCAACCTCTCGCAAGCGCGTCTTGGAACGCTGGAAGACGATCTTGGCATGACGGGAACGGACTTCAACCTCGCAACGAGCATTCTATTCGTAGGGTACATTCTCATGCAGCTTCCATCAAATCTCTTAATAACTCGAGTGACGCCCTCGGTTTATCTTGCTGTGGCTATGACGATATGGGGAGTTATATCTACAGCTCAGGCAGCAACTCGCACGTTTGCCTCTTTAGTCATATGTCGATTTTTTCTTGGATTTGGTACGTATCATACTTTTGGACAGCGACAAAGATAACCTTCTAGTTTTGCTTGATCTATTATAATATCCCTTGCCTTGCATCATACTAATGACTCGTGAAACTTCACGTTGACGCTTAGACCGAAGCGCTAACATATCTGTAGCGGAAGCGCCATTCTTCCCTGGTGCGATATTCCTGATGTCAAGTTGGTATACTCGTCGCGAACTTGCCCTCAGGATCGCGTGGTTCTACTGTGGTCACTCTGTGGCGAATGCATTCGGTGGTCTCTTAGGAGCTGGGGTTCTGGGAAATTTAAGCGGCGCCCACGGCATCGCCGGATGGTAAGTAGACATATTAGCAATATGAACGAAAAAGGGACCTGGAGGTTGGGATAGGCTTATGAAGCTAACGGGGAAAGGCGATGGCTTTTCATAATCGAGGGCAGCATAACAATCTTTTTCGCCATCTGTTCAGCCTTCATTTTGCCAGATTACCCAGCTACTACAAAATGGTTATCTCTTGAAGAACGCGCGTACGCGCAGTGGCGACTCGCCAAGGACGCAGGGGAGGTGGATGTGGCCGACGCCTCATCTATCAAAGAAGGAGTGATGTTGGCACTGCGTGACCCGCGCCTTTATCTTTTCACGTTGCTGCAACATTGCTCTTTATTGTCGCAGACGTTTCAGGCGAGTTTTTCTTCCCTCGAGTTATTAATATACTCAAGCTCATCACGTATCTCTAGTACTTCTTTCCGACTATCCTCCAGACTTTGGGGTACGGGAACATCGAAACTCTGCTCCTAACTGCGCCCGTTTGGGCAGTATGCTTCTTGGTCTCCTTGGTGGTGACGTATACATCCGGACGCTTCGCAGACCGCAGCATTCATATTATATGCTTAATTTTGATTTCTGCGGCAGGTAACATTATCGTAGTAGCTACTCTCAACAATGCGGTCCGTTTCTTTGCCTTATTCCTTTTGCCAATGGGTGCCGTTCCTGCTTATCAGGTGACTCCCCTTGTTTCATTCAGTATACACTTCAAGACGTACATCAGGGGTCGGTTCGAACCAAACTTGTGGGCATGGCTAATTCAAAAAATAACAAAACTATAGATCATCCTTGCTTGGGTGGCTAACAGTTTTCCACGCCCGCTGGTCAAGCGCAGCGCCTGCATATCATTCACCAACATGGTTGGCAACTCGGCCAACATATATGGTACCTACATGTACGTAACCAAGCACACCGAGTCCTGTACATAGCCCCGTGATATACACAGCTTGGTCTCTAAGCAGAGCACTGAGAATATGGACAACGTATGTAATAAGAGCGTTGCTGACCGCAGACGGCGTATCAATCAAAGGTATCCAGCTGTCAACGGGCCTCGATACCTCGCTGGTGGGGGCGCTACAGCAGCTGATGCGCTCCTTGTTGCCGTCTTGGCTATTATCGTAAGATTTGTGTTGCAAAGGCAGAATCGAAAACTGGCCGAGCGCGACACGTTCGAGGCGGGCGAGCTCCGGGCGCAGCCTCGGGATCCAATCACTACACCTGTGGGCTTCAGGTATATCCTCTAGAACTGCGTAGACTAATCCGTTAAAGAATATTTCATTGGATATTTCATTCTGTCCGGCATGCTCATATCTTACTGGAACACGGGGACATGAGTAATTGTATACGAGGCTGGGCGTAGACTTACGGCGTATTCTGGAGTGGTCTATGTACCTATTATTCGTCGCCGATCTTCTAATAGAATTTATGATGGCTGGATTATATCAGTTGCGATTGGAGTGATAGGTATGGTCCGCGGGGGCAGTGAACGCTTCTTGACGCCTCAAATACCACCCTACCACAAACGTTTTCTCATTGAGCTATCCGATATATGCTGTCTAACCCAAGTCCCCTCCCCCCTCATTCTTCGCAGAAGCCACAACACGCAAGATTCATGGATACCTACCTGGTATCTAAGGTAGTAAAATGAACTTACAACATTTACTAGTAGTAGCAAAGAACGACAATGGTGAATATACAATACTGTCAGCAGGGATATTTCATCCAGGTTAGAGGCTATCTCGATCTAACTACATGGTAAGGTTATTCATGTACATGGTTCTCATTTTTAACACATCTCCTTGCCGCTTCCAAGCAGTGTCAAGACCCGCTAGATGGAGGCTGCAGCTATTACTGCTGATTGATCCAGCAAACCAATATTGTCTCCTCATCCACATACCGAGCAAAGTAGTTGTGTTCCGTGGTATCATCGTTCTCCTCCTATTCTTTCGATCTCCAACGGTTAGACAAGCGATGTACAGCAGATACATTAATGCACACAGAGCCATTGCAGGAGGCGGTCCTTTACGGTCTTCTTTTTTTTGTCTTTTCCTTTCCCTCCAACGCCCCAAGCGGTAATGTAAAGATTTGCGGGTAAACAGGTTAACAAGCCCCGTTCTCCATGTTCCAATGCGACGCGATTTGAAAACTGCAGCTTTTTTTCTAACACGCAACCGGTACAGTATCCGCCCTTCAGAGGCTGGGGTGTATGAATTCTGTATACATGAATAAGGGGTACAAGAAGGAAATGAACAAATCTGTGTGATGTCCTGAGAGACGGTATTGTCTGTCGATCCTAGCCACGTATGTGCAGATGCATAACGTAGGTCGCCGATATTCCGCAATGCCAGGACTAAACACATTAGACAAATGGTCCGGGGAGAGAAATATATGCAGGGGGGGCTGCGTTCGGTCTCGGGCCGAGGCGGCCTGATGAAGATTATGATCTAAGGGGGTTTTCGTTTTTCGGAGAAAAAAATAAATAAAAATTAAACTTTTCGAATTCGACACATCAACACCCTCGCGATGCAGTGCGAATGCCGGCAGAGCGGGCTGATACTTTCGTCGCGGTCGTCCTCTAAGTGGTATCCAAGTAAACGAACAAATGGTATCTCTCTATGCTGCAAAACATAAGATAGAAAAAACTGGAAATGAGCGTAAGTGACATCAGAGTCGTAGTCATCATTAAGTAAGTGGTCGTAACGGAGGTCACTCGGGGGCCGGCGACCACATAAATATAGCGAAGTTTTATTTCTTCAAGCCGACTTTACCGGCTAGATTGCGCCAGAAACTTTTACGATCCGCGCCTTCAAGGGACATCATCGTCGCCTCTCGCACCATTGGGCCAACGATATCCTCGTCGCCGCGCTCCGGGAACTTGCCCTCGGCGTAGATTCTCGGAACGGTGGTCAAAACACCCTCATCGAACTTCTCACAAATTATCGCCTCGCCAGTGGCAACAATCGCTTCGGCTATCTCATCATGCAGGTTGCGCCAGGTACGTTGGGTCTCGGCCCATTTGGCTTCTGTGAGTTCGTAGGTTTTAGATGTTTGACCGTAATGCTCGCCCGTTCGTGCGAGGTGCTTGGTATAGTTTACTCGCGCTGTCTCCCAATCCGCCCGAAATCTTCGTAAAGCCTCCAAGTCGACGGTTTCAGGTTTGTATGGTTTGGGGACAATAGTGTAGTTCGCATGACCTAAACGGTCTGACCAGGCGTCGGGCGCAGGGAGCTGGGGAAGCTGGGGAAGCTCCACCGCGCCTGGTACAAGGCGGAGAGAGGAGCGTGAGGGTCTCGTGCTTAGCGGCGGGGATAGTAAACCAGACGAGTAAACATCATCCCCTACCGGGGAGGCTGGGGAGGCGACGCTCGGGGATTCTAACGGAGAGGGCTGCATCAGAATTTGTTCAGTCGAAGCAGAAGCCATCATAGGCGGTAAAAGTGGTGTTACCGCCTGCTTACGCTCATGTTCGATAGCCGAAAGGACGTCATTGGTTTTCTTGGAATCCATGGTCTCATCGAAGGGCATAAAGCTGTCGCTGCTCCCGAAACGGGACAGGGCAGGCGTAGGCGGAACGACGGGTTCGTTTGAGCGGTCGGGACGTTGTCGACTAGGTGTTGAAACTGAAGAGGATCGGCTCGAAGTTGCCCGAGAGAAGACTGGTCGCCGTTCGAATCCATAGTCAGATACAGGGGAGCTAATGATGCTAGACGGCTTCGTCGATTTCCACCTGGTGAAAGATGGGAACCTGGAACCTAACCGCTGTGAGAATCCTGCGAGTGTTGACTCGGAGTTGTCTCTGCGCTTCCTGGATGAGCGCAAACTGAAGCTGAAGTCGCCGTCGCTAAAGAATCCTAGATCATAGTCGCCTACTCGGCTCTGAGTATAGAAATTTGACGTGCTCTGTACCAGATCGGCATCCCTGTGAATGCAGGGTTCGTCGCCTATGAATGAATTTGTTAGAATCGAAGGTAATGGGGACTTGAAGGGAGTAAAACGTACATAAACAATGATACAACTCAGACGCATCGTCATCATCATCATAGTCATCATAGTCAGAATCAGAGTCTTCGCATTCTACGGGTTCTTCTTTCACGTCCGGTAATACGCGTTTGCTCGAGTTCTGTGCCGTTTGCGTTTGCGCTGGCGACGAAGGGCTCTCGGAGCTTGCTGCCGTTGCAAGATCGAAGGACGACATGGAGCTCGAATAGCGCAGATGACCGCGTGCTGAAAAGGTAGGTGTCGCTGGCGACGTCGCTTCGGATGAGAAAGAGTCGGTGGTGTAAAAGTTATACGGCACATCCACCTCTATCTCGCGCTGGGCCGCTTCCTCCTCTTCCTTTCTTCGCCTCTCCTCCACTAACAAGGGCAGATGTAAAGGTCGCAATTTAGGAGACATCTTGTGAAAATCAGCACGGCCGCACCGACCACAAAACTGTCTGACTAGGAGCCCAGTTTGTTGGAATGATTGAGGTGAGAAGCTTTACGTAATCGCGGTATCGTCGTCGATATATGTAAGTTGGCAGCGTTGCTTGGTGGGGGTGACGATATGTCAGGGTAAATACAGCATCCAGTATTCTTGGCAGCGCTACAACGGGGAATAGATTGTCGTTCGGCGAACGGAAAGGGAAGAGAGGGGGGGGAAAAGCTTCGTCTCTTCTTTCGGTCCTAATAAACCACCTTGGCGTCTTATCAAAAGATAAAAACCTGGCAGCAAGACGACTCAAGTTTATGCTAGTATCTAAACCGCGTGATGGATATTTCTGGATAAAAAAAAAGAATACCCAATGGCTTAGAAGTATATACGTGTGCCAGTGGACGCTTTGCTTTGCCCTATCGACGTTCGGGTAGTCACACTGGTCCACGTGTTCTGGGCACTGTAGCTTGGGTGTAGCTTGGGGTAGTTGAATATTCGTGGGGTCGTAGTCAGGCTGCTGTGCTGTCTCGAGAACGTATACCGCTTCGCCAATCAACTAGACAGTATCACGCCGATACTGACACACAATCCCCTGGCCTTCCAAAAGGTCGTCCTCTCTGCACCTTGACAAAATTGATGAATGTGCGAGTAGCGTACGACATAAGCCAATGAGTCTAGACGAGCAAGGCGTTGCAGTGATATATCGTGCGAGTCCAAGTCGACCGTTATTATTCCCCAGGATCTCGGGTCGGACAGGATCAGCTTGCTTATTGGCAGTTCCTAGGCGTCACGGTTGTATTGTGCGAGGGTGGGTAGGAATGAAAAGGAGAAAATCTGTTATGCGTAGAGGATAGGGAAAAGACCTTTTTTTCCTTTCTTCTATTTTGGCTTGAGCTGGGAAGACTGCAGCAGGGTGCACTAGTTGGCTGGTGAGCATGGGAAAAACGGGATTGAGCGGGTGGCTTTACCTTAGCCCATATTTTCCCCCTTCGAACCTGGATGTTATGGACGGGCAGACGGGGTCCACTGTCAACTGAGGCCGGCCCTACCGCCCCCGCCGTCTTAAACTCTTTGACGTCTTGCAGTCTTCCGTGGAATCATGAGCTTTCCTTTTTTTCTAATCCTTGTAATCTTAGCTTGCTTAAGAGCCCGACCAACTGGGATGACACCTCGACGGCCCAGGCTGCTTATGGGTTTAGCTTAACAGCAGGGGTCCGGGGAGCGCTTCCAGCAAGCTACTGGTCCGCTCGGGGGCAGTGGACTTGTAGCCAAGAGAGATGAGGGTCTCTCTGGCGGCGGCCGTGTACTTTGTACTATGAGGTATTCTAACAATTTTACATCTAGTGTAAGTGCATTAGGTATCGCGCAATACGTACCTAGGCGTAGTGATCCACAATGGAACAATTCTTTACCAGCCAGCCCCTACCTCAGTCTTCTCCACCGCTTCAAAGGCTGAGTCCCTACCTAGACATGTCCCTACCTACCTTGTACGCTCGAAACGAACCTAAGCAGAATAGATAATAGGAGACACGCGCCTACGCAGCCGCAACAATCGTTAAGCATAAAGGAGGTTGGGCAAGGTAGGGTTTGCACTTGTAGTCTACGTGCAAACATCATGTGAAAGCCCAACAATTGTCGATACGAGATACCTAGCTAATTCTATCTACGCATCTCGGAGTACATTCACTAGAGGGCTACGCAAACTCGAGAGTTGTCATAACTACAGCGCCTTGATGCGATTATGATACTTTGTAGATTGTGCTGCACATACCTACTAGCTGTGTGTTATGTATACCCATGGCTTCATACGTATACGAACTTTTCCTTTTCTGGGTGCTGACGGGGCCGGCTTCGATTCCTGGTGGCCACGCCGTAAACGCATACAAGGTAATTGCCTAGTTGGGCTAAGATAAGGATATAATTCAACCTCCATCGGATTGCAACCCTCTCGCGCCGTCGAATTAGGCTTCAAAGCGCAAACTTAGTGGGGATCTATGGAACGAAAACCATAAGAGCACAGTGTGTCTACAATCATCGCCATAGAGTAAGAATGAATAGATACACGAAAGAGCAAGCATTTTTAGGGAAGGGCCAAGGTACTAACGTATTATTAATACTGTGATTATGGTCCGTGATTCGGGCCAGGATATTATCGAGGCAGGTATTTGACTCAGGAGAAAAAAAAATTTGTACACGGCTGTCGCAGTGAGACAACCTTGGAAGTTCCCAGTCATATTTCTTACTAGCAGCAAAGTTTTACGCAGCAATGCTATAACTACGCGCAGAATATGATTGCTTAACAGTGTGCCTAGTAATAACAAATAATCCTTTTTACCATACGAAAGAATTGGCTAGCCAGTCTAGTTTAATGAGACAAAGACAAGGAAAATATCGGGGAAATAGAGAAAGACGCGATTCTTCGGAGTCTCTTGGTCTCAGATCGAATTTCTTCGCGCTGCGTATACGCCGACGACTATGTGATGTCCGGACTCGGTAAGCTATCTCACATATGTTTCGTCGAGGAGCGAGTAGGCAATGACCCCAGGGTGATATCGGCTGGCGGATCTATTACCAGCTATTCAACTGCCGAAGAGAGGCGCGCTTGACTGGAATGAAAAGTCGCGTTGTTTTTGCTAAGCGCAGCGTGACGCGGTGAGATGGGCAAAAAGGATCAGATGCAGCGCCAGCATATTTGAATTTTCCTATTTCTTCGTAGACCGATCCAACACTGGTGTACGGTTGGACAGGAAGACAGGATCGAACGCTAGTAGTTAGTTAGGTACCTTTAGTGATGCTATCGGGGATAATGGGTGAAAAGCAGAACTTGGTGACCGCCCTCTCCGCCTTTTGACCGACGCCCAAAACTATGACACATGAGATAATGTACGCCTACGCTTACATACAGTATCTACATGTTATTGTACATATAGTACCAAGGTAAGCACCATACTGTAAATTTTACTACCTAGGTAGTTAACTAGGTACGCTTTTATGTAACTGTAACTCAGTCGTAGACCTTAAATCAACTTAGCTTTTTTTTCGGTTGGCTGTGCAACGCAAACACAAGACAAACTACCATAATACCTTACCATCAACATAGGTATAGGTAGATCATCTCTAGGTAGTTCAACCCTCGAGCTTTGCCGAGCACCTCTTTTACTAGTACATGGCCAAAAAATACATATCTTCATATAAACCTCGGGCTACTTAAGTACCGTCGATGTACTCTATCTCAGTCAAGCCACAGGTTGATTATAGCCCATCTTTCCGGCTTGCAGTTAGCATATCCTTGCATGTTTCGTCCCGCCAACGGTCGATACCCTCCCGCTACGTCTTAACTAGATTGCTCATTGATAAAGGAGCAGGTCGAGGCGGGGTACCCCATCACTACTATGTATGTGGTGTGTTGTGTAATGGTCTTGCTTTGTCCCTTCCGCCTTTCCCACCACATACCTAGTAGGCGGTGCTACGATGCCTACCTAGGTACCTAAAGTAGGTAAGTATTGTACCTACTCAGGTCATAATCAGTTGGTAGAGCTTGTTCCAAGCTATTCATCACCAATGAGAAGATCTCTCGATATGCCAAGCTAACCGCTATCTATCTTATAGTATGGTTGAAGTAGTGTATGTAAAATTCAAGGTTATCTGTTGTCGAAATTGGTATTAAGATTCGTACAGCAGCCTATATTCATACGATACACTTAGTCAGTGTTACTAGTTATAAGCTCTGATTAGTCGCGCAATTCTCTTGTTCATCCACGGCCCATCAAATTAATTTGGTGAGTTCGTCCATTTATAAGCATCTTCTCATAGTCGGATATCTGGGCCTAAGAGAGCAGGGGAGCATCTTGCCTTGTGGTATGTAATGCAAAGACCTGTCGTGCTCAATCTCGTGAAAAGTCTCTGGGGCTTCCTAAGCTATCGGTATTGGTGGAATCAAGCTTCAACTCTTGTCAGACGTGCTACGAATAATGACAGTCGCGATATTATCCGCTGATCGTCACTTTTGCTCACTTAAGAACTATTATGCAAGCCTTTTTAACTAATATGGACACAATCCGCGAACCCGCAGCATACCTCACTTCCATGGCAGAAATCCCGTAGTGCATCTAAGTTTAACAGAATGGTTTATTAGGGTACAAACTTACCATATAAATTGATATGTCACTTTATACCTCTTATAATATAAATCGGTCAGATACTAACAATTCTTATTAAAAGTTAAGACGACCTTTTATGTCAATGCCGATCGCTTAAGCTACATAGTACATAGCCTATCCGTACACAGTCTGCTGCTTGCTTGTACCTTGCATTAGTTTAGTTCAGATATAGGGTTATGCCACATGCCTATTTGGCCAGCGCAACAAATAAATATTACCTTAGGTACCTACCTAAGGTAAGTAGGTAGGTAGGCACATACCACATACCACATTAATCAGTACTTTAACAAAAGTCTATATTGTAGTGCTTTTTAAAGTACCTATTTTAGTAGCTTTCAAAGAGAACTCGCAAAGATACTAGTTAGTTACAAGATCCAAACATCTTAGTTGGACGAAAGACTTTGGCGAAAATGGGCAAGGTTCTGCACTTTTTAAAAGGGGAAAGAAAAATTTTCCCTGCTCTTTTCCGAGATGCATGCGGGGCTAGCTATAACTCAACGCCCAGTCGAAGCTTTGATAATACCGTTGTTCTAGGCCCGAACTAAACCTTTGCGGATCCTACAGCCGCGGTCCAGACGGTGTTGGTCGGCTTTAATGGATAGCCAAGTTGTTCCGAAGACTAATAACTATTCCGGCTGTCAACTACTATGTACGTACCAGACCCATCTTCAAGTTGGATAAGTTTCTACTTGTTAAGCATAACGTTACTTATCTAGTACTATATAGGTAAACAATCTTTCCTTCTCCTTAGGACCTAGGTACCTTTTCTTGGACTAGCCTACACGCTCATGACGGCGGTGAGAGCCGCTTACCTATCATGCTAATGGTTTTTATAATTTCGAGTCGTGCCTAATGTAGTATACGTAAGCCCTATCGAGGGTACCTGAGTTGCTCTTATTCTTGTATAGGTATGTATACTCGCCGGATCGACATGTGTCTCTCGATTCGCTCGTCATAATATTACCAGGTAACTGCATTTTCCACCCGGTATTGTGGGTTCCCAAAGACGCGAACCGTGGTTGAAAGCTATCTATCCCCTCATTCATTTCGATCTCGAGCCAGTGCATCGGTACTAGATAACTATGACGTTGTCAACCCCACGATATAATCATTTCAATACATGAAGTCTACACGAATTTTGATTCATTGTGTATGATGGAAAGAACCTCAGGCTAGCGTATCATACATAAGAGTTGCAAGAGTTATAATTGGTTCGTAGGGTATGATACATTTCCCGCAGAGCCGTAGATTGAAACCTGCACGTATTGAGCAAATTCCACGTCGCTGCCTTTGCCCGTTCGAAGTCACGTCAGTGGCGCCTTTAAGGCCTATCACCCTTCTTATAATACGCGTCGCACATACCTAGGTAGCTAGGTACCTACCTAATATTTACGACTATCCAATCGGGTAGGTGCGCTCCCCTCCGGATCTCAATGGACCTATGTAGGTAACCAGCAGGGCGCATGTCTAAACAACAACTTCAGGTATCTCGGTTCCTCAGATGAGCGGGAATCCTCCCGAGCTTCGAGTGCCTGCGTGTTTTACCTTTCCTTTACCCCAGGTGTTTATTAGAAGAAGAAGAAAAGCCGGAGCTTTGATCAGATACTTCCAGTCCTTAATTCTTGTGAAAGTAAAGGAAGACGAGACCAAACACCACGTGAATGTCAAGGATAACAGCGGCTCTTCCCGACACACCCTTTAGAACATACATACCTAGTACGTACCTGTGCATGTACACACATGAAGCTAGTCCTTCCAGTAAATCCTAGAGAGATTTTCTTTTTCCAGGCCCATGGTTTGACTAAAGATCAGCACAATCTGTACATGAGTCCAAGAAAAGCAAAATCCCTGTGCGATGAGATACCTACATATTATCCTAATGGAAGTGTTGCCGACGTTAGATATCTGTTCAAAGAAGGGGGATATACATAGTAAATCCCTCGGCCGTCATCCTCCGATTACAGGTTAATGATCCTAATCAATCTTTCGCCCCAATTAAGACCCTTTTAGAATACATATCTATCCAACCAGGTCTTCGGAATAACTTTGGTTTATACCTACCTAAGGTATGTATAAGCCAGCTGTAATATTATCTTATTTTTTTTCTTCTTCACTTTGGGACGCCTTTCTCATTTATTTTCATTTCCCAATTGGTTAACCCCGGCCCCGTCACGGGCAGTGTGGGCGGGAATGCGAAGGAACCCTCCACAGATGCTCGGTTTTTGGATCGGCTCAGCTGCAAGATACCAAGCAAATCACATCAAGCTGACGAGATGCGAAGTTTTGCCTTGTTGAGGAAGAAGAGAAAAAGTTTTTCATCTCACTTCTCGGAATACTAACCTATGTAGAAGACTGATGGAAGTCCTACGCGTTTCTAGTTATGACTCAAAAGCAAGCCGCCCTTTTTTTCCCCTTAACTCTTGTTGCGTTTCGCTGACCAGAAGCCATTCTCATTATTGTCTAGCAGCGAAACGTACGTCGCTCTATTAGCTCATAGGTTACGATTTGTGCTCAGCGGTTGGCCGCCGGATCTAGAATCAATAAAATTAAATTCCGTGACGTACCCTAGGTCATGTCAGCCCTTAGACGATCAGCATCAAGTGGCTGGGACGGGTGACGCCATTCGCTAGTTCCATCGCGCGGGGGAATGCGACCATAGTCTTCAAACCCTTTCTTCAGTGGCTGAATAATGTGTAGATTAGAATGGTGGGTAAGACACTCTTTATTACTAGCGAAACTGTAAAACTATGAGATTTACAAGAGGCGATAACTCCCAACATGTTATTGTTACGTTGTTACGTAGGTACCTAATCTAACAAATAAGTACCTTAGGTAGCTAAGGTACTTTATGAGAGATATGCTTCCGAAAATAGGTAGATGTGATTTCCTCATGTTTACAACGCATCCAACAGCCCTTCTGTGTACCTAGGCCTTGCGGGGATGCCCAACGAGGCTTTTATCTTCCTCCCTTGATCTCTCTCCTATTCTATTCAAGGTCACCTAGTCTCAATGAAGCAAACACTTTATAATGAGGCGGTGAATGCGACCCTCTTTGACAGCTCTTACGTGTCGATCAAGATGTGGTACGGCAGCAATTAATCAATATATGCAGGTACGGACGACGAAGTCCCAAATATCGGAGGCGAATTTTCCGGAGGCCAAATCTGTTGGCGTCGTTGCGTTCTGTCTTCTGTCTTCTCAATACCCCGGCGGTTGATGTGCCCTCTTGATTCGTTAAGATTTGAGGGGGGTACCGATCTTTCGACGCCCAAGATAATAGTAAAGAAATATCAGTACGTACCTCCTAGACGATAGGACGTTGAGGCAACGAAATCAGCGTAGCGCAGCACGACTTGGGATTTTGCTCATCTTACTCGCTAGGTTTTTACCCGGGTCCTCGAAAGGGTGACTGTGTTCTATAATGCATGTAGTGAAGTATGATAAGCACTATTATCAGTGTTGTGTAGTATATTTCTCCCGCAACTAGACCTACGCTTCGAAGCCTGTTGAGAACGAGGCTAGTCTACGTATCTCCTAATTAAAGCGTCAACAAGGTTTACCAAACACGAAGTCACGTATTAACTACAATGGGCATATCCATTGATGCCCAAGTTATCTTAGGTACCTAGGTATAAGATTAAAAGACCGAGGAGTTAGCAATCTGCTGTCATATCTTCCAGACTCTCGGATATAAGATATGGTATTGAGTTAAATAGGTACTTTAAGTAAAGTAAATCCAGCAGCTCTATCCTTTCCAGATTGCCAGATATATCTAATGCTGGATTCCAGACTTAGTGTTAGGTAGTTGAGATGATGTATACGCTCGGTGGGTAGATAGGTAGTAATGTAGAAAAAATACAACGAATGCATAGACTTGCCTAAGTCTTTGGATAGGTTCATACTTGTTTAAAAGAAGTAGCCTTTCTCTCATGAATACCTGATAGTTGCTGGTAAACATATATCAAAATTAAAACTAAGTGCTAGATAGCAACTTAACCTAACCTACCTAATACTCGAGGTATATCAAGAATTGCTCGCAAGTATTTCGCAATAAAGAATCTTATGAGCTTATCACGGATTCTTTTGGGTATTTACCTTACGAATAAAGCTTTAGTGTCTAACGTTACCTATCTTCTATTTACCTGATAGGTAGTTGTCCCGTACCTTGATTAATATTTCCTGTTATACAGGCTTGCCAATTTTCCGCAGTAGGCACCTAATCTATAAGAAAAAGCTGCAAGGAAAAAAAAATAGCATTGCAAATTTCGCAGTTTCTAACATTGCTATATCATCAACCTTGATATAGGTTCTGTAATTGTTAGATTGTTGCCGTTATTACCCGATAGCATGCGTCTAATTGCCTCGCCGCTTCTAACTCCTATAACGTCGTACCCCATCACAGGCTATCACTGGTGTTTCGTTATTTCTCCTCGCCTCGGAGTTGTGTCTGCCCATATGATTGCTGCTACACTGTAATTAGACACTTCCAACTCCGTTAGGCATTGTTGATTTAATCTTTTCTCGTTGGCATATGATTGCTGCATAATTACTTGCCCCGGCGCTTTAGCCCTCCTATTGTCACTATTTACTACCGTTTCTTGCCTCGTAATTTCAGCGCATAGTGATAAAATCCGCGCTTCCAAAGCCAGTACGTTATCGTCTTCATTGAAAATTATTGTTATTCCTCTTCATCAACACTACCTCGTTACTAGTTGCCGCGACTACCTACTCCATTACCTTTGGGCACCTACGTAAGCACCTAGAGATCCTACACATCGAGATTCTGAAGCAGTGGATTGTGACTTTAGGGGTACTTCAAAAACATACCTAGATGCCGCTCATATACTGCCCACTGTATACAGGCGATTTTATTGTTTGATAACCGTGAGCCATCAAGTCTCATCATATACTGTATGTGCTAAGTCTGACTCGAATAAAATCCTTTTTCGATAACTCTCAACGCCGAGTCGCCTGGATAGCCTCCTCTAGGATATCCAATCCGCTTTCGATTTCTTCCTGGCTGACTGTGAGCGGCGGGAGGAATCGGAGCGTATTCGTACCACATGTGATTATCAACAGTCCTCTCTCTCGGGCGGCTTTCACTATTGGCAATGGATCTCGGGTCAATTGTACGCCAAGGATTAGACCCTTCCCGCGAATCTCAGTTATAAGGCGGGGGTATCGTTCTCGCATGCGCTCGAATCTCTCCACGAAGATTTTCGATTTGGAAAGAACACCCTGCTGCAAGTTGGGATTTGAGAGCTGGGAGACTACGTAGTGCGCAATACGGGATGCCATCGGATTACCGCCAAAGGTCGTCCCGTGATCGCCAATCTTAATCTTTTCGCTGACATGACGGTTGGCTATAGTAGCACCGACGGGAAAGCCGTTGCCAAGCGCCTTCGCCGACGTGAATATGTCTGGGTGTGCCTCCTTGGGCAGGTGACTATGGGCCCAGAGCGTGCCGGTCCTCGATAAGCCGCACTGAATCTCATCGTAAATGAGAACGGCACCCATTTCGCGGCACCGCTTCGCTAGGGCGACGAGAAACTGATCGCTGGCAACGTTGATGCCACCCTCTCCCTGAATAGGCTCAATTATTACACCACACGTCTTTTCTGTCACAAGGTCATTGACAGCGGCGATGTCGTTGAATGTCCCATATCTAAAGCCAGGCAGCATCGGCGCAAAGGGTTCCTGGTATTTGGGATTCGGCGTTGCGGACAGACTTCCCATGGTCCGTCCGTGGAACGAGTTGTAAAAGGAGACGAATTCGTGCTTGGCGCCAGTAGGATCCAGAACTTTGCCAACCTTCCTGGAAAGCTTGATTGCTGCCTCGTTCGCCTCGGAACCGGAATTGCAGAGGAATACCGTGGCAGCATCGTGCATGGCACCCGATGCGCGGGTCTTCTCGATAAGAAGGTGGGAAAGTGATGCAATCCATGGGTTGTAGTATAGGTTAGACGTGTGCCATAGCGTTTTTGCCTGGTCCACGAGAGTCGATCAGCATAGGAACGGTGGAACAAGTACAATAAACGAGGTGGGAAAATAGTTTGTACCTGACCTGAGATGGCCTCCACCGAGCCTGGATCGCAATGGCCGAGCGCATTAACGCCAATACCGGAGGTGAAATCCAGGTATTTTCGGTTTTCTACATCCCACAAATACGAACCCTTCCCTTTCAGAAATAGCGGGGGCGCCCTGTCATATGTTGCCAGCATAAAGTTGGAATGGAATTTTAGCATAGTTGAGTAGGGTTCGTCACCAGACGGATCGGGATTTGGTAAAGTTGTTTCGCGCGATTTAGACCCTTGAACATGATTAGGCGATGTCGTCGAGATATATCGAGCTGTAGAGGATGCGAAAGGTCGAGTAGGAAGTCGGAGAACTAATGTAGAGGATGCGAAATGCCGAGTAGGATGTCGGAGAGCCATATTGAACGTGGCCGATCTTCGTGGGAACTGAGGAGAATGCGACGAAAAACGAAGGGGAGTTTGTTGGTTTACTGGTTTAACGTTTGATCGGCCAAGGTAGAGGTAGTAGAAGGTAGATATCGAGGGGAACTTCTATTGAACTTCTCTTGGAGCAATTAGGCCATGTCCCACAGGTAAGGTTCCAAGATACTACTTTAGTAAGTATCTCTACAACCCCATCGCATAAAATGATTCACAGAATAGTGACTAGGTATTTGGTTATAAATCGCCATATATCCCCGTATCGATAACAAAACTAGCCTAAATTCCGTTCCGATCTCGCATTGGAGAAATATTCTAATGATGGGGCCACTCTACGCCCTTCCAAACCTCAGATATTATGTAATCTGATGCCGTACCTGTATTGTCTGATTGTTAGGTTGCCCCAACTCAAAGTATACCTTAAAAACACAACGCATTTACTTCTCAGAATGTCTAATAACACTAACTCAGATTATTCGCCGACCTTATATACTATCCCATAGTTTCTCCGGTCATACCAGGCAGTCATGATGTAGGTATTCGCGGTAATTGGCGGCTTAGGTAGTATGGTTATTTAGCCTTACCCTTGTCTCACATGGACCTCACAAGTATCACATGCAATTTCCTATTGTCCTTATCCAGCACGGTTTTTTTTTTCTCTAAGGGTATTACGCCGTAGGGGACGGTGAGTGAGCCAAAGGCATGGGAATGTCATGTCGCATCGCATGGGCTTCTCCAAATCTCCAATGCGGGGTTACAATTGAACCCCTGGCAAGCCCCGGACTCAGGCGGGCTCAGGCGGGCGTGGGGGTGGTTTGGTCTCGTTTTAGTGGCTTCAGAGACGGCTTTCACATGCCAGATTCACTCGTGTATCATGCAACTCTCGCCGCAAACGTCACCAGAGGAGCCGATAGGTTCTAGGTTTTATCCCAGGCCGCCATTCACGAGCTTCTAAATTTATTCCTATCCTGTCAGCTTTGGTCAGAAACCCACAGCGCCTTCTAATCTAGCGGCCACTATCATCTTTAGTCCTCGGACCTTAGGTCACGAATCCCCTTCTCCTGCCTGCTTCCGAATGGCCTTGGAGTCTGTCAGCGTGCCATCCGAACTCTCCGTTTAGTTCATACGCCACTTCTACCATCAGTCCCGACTCGCGTTCCCTTGGAAACTAACCGTTACTGTGGGGGGACTATGTCGCGTTTCACATGCCTCGTCACTTCGTGAGAGCAACTTTACCTAGACGGTGTCGGTCCAGACTTCTCTTGTCGTTTTTCTTCCTTTTATTCACGAAGTGGGTACCTGCTATAGGTATGTCAAATGCTATGCTCTGATGTTGCTGTAGTTCATTGATCTGTCAACCTTTTCCGCTCTGTTCGATGGACAATCTGGACTACGACTATACAGCATGATCGATCACGTCCTCGGTAAACCTTCCGTAAAGTCGCGCAGGCTTCAAGTGCTTGCTGTACTAACCTTTTGGTCCCTATATATTTATAAGTAAGTATTTCTTGTTGATCTACGAGAAATAACTTTTGCTAACAACGAGCTAGAGGCAATCGCCATGGCCCACCCGTCGCTCGATACCTGTCAAAGACCTCCTCCAGAGTATTGACAGTATGGCAGACCGTCGTATTAACTATGATGTACCTTTATGCCGCCCGCAACTTCAGCACGCTTGTCGGGCTTGCTAGTCCAGAACCGATGGCCAACATGTACGACGCCAAGTATTTTCGGGCTACATGGGTATTGACGGCACTGGACGCCGGTTTCTGGACGGCCATGAAAATTAAGAGGAAGTGGATGAGGGATATAGCTAGCCTTGCATTTTCTCTCTTCTATCTTGTGGCCGCAGAACGCGCGGATGAGAAGGTTAGAAAGGTTAGAGGCGCGTTGACCGTTGACCACCTGCGAGTAAGCTGGAACAAGGGTACTACGCCATATCTACGAGCTGTTCAAAATCTGATGCGCCCCCGGTTCACACGGTGGCCACCGCGAGCGATTCGTATCCCTCGACCTAGTTCTAGCGACTACAAAGAGCCCGTTTCCGGATGGCTGTACTACGACGGTCCCGTATCGGACTTGGGGCACATTAATAAGATGATCCTAGACATCCCCGGCGGAGGCTTTGTGGCTATGGATCCGCGATGCAACGACGACAAGCTCTTCGCTTGGGCCGGAAAGACAGGTCTTCCAATATTAAGCCTCGAGTACAAGAAAGCGCCGGAGTTTCCCTACCCGTACGCCTTAAACGAATGCTTCGACGTGTATACGACAATCGTCAGAAGCAAGGGCCGATGTATAGGGATGTCAGGGATGGAAATTCCGAAGATTGTGGTAACAGGCGACAGCGCTGGTGGGAATCTCGCGACAGCGATGACTCTGATGTTAATTGAGAGCGCCACAAGCCGTCGCCAATCACCGATCCAAGTGGATCTTCCTCTTCCCGCTGGACTTGTACTTCTCTACCCTGGTCTAGATATGAACATAGGGAACTGGATGTCTGACGAGCAAATGTCTCTAATCAAAGACCGACGGGTGAGAGCGACGAACAAGGACTACCTGCGCCGGAAGAACATGCAGTATAACGACCTAGTTGGCACGCCTCATCAATCTGACGATGAGGATGAAGAACCTTCTGGCGTAGTCTCTAATGCAAACCCTTCTACGCTAGACGCCAGTACTGACAGCAATGGGCTTCGCAGTCCTCAGCCCGAGTATTCTCACGCTAATCGGCAGATGTGGGCAAAATCCGAACAGCCAGCTATGACATCTGACCGAAATTCTAAGCCAATGTCGCACAGACCCGAACCTATGAAGACGCGTTTGGCCATGGCGTCCATGATCTCTTATTTCAACGACCGCGTGCTCACCCCTGAGATGATGCGCGCAATGATCATATTATACATTGGGCCGCACAACCGACCGGACTTTTCTCAAGACTACCTCCTCTCTCCCATATTAGCTCCAGATCTCCTGCTGCAGAAGTTTCCAAAAACCTATTTTCTTACTGGCGAACGTGATCCTTTAGTGGATGACACAGTCATTTTCGCTGGACGCTTGCGCCGCGCCAAACAAGCCTTCCACTCGCAACGCAGTCCTCAGGGAATGAATGGGCTAAACGATATTACGGATTTTGACGAAAAGGACGCTGCCGAGATCGTCCTGATCCCTGGTATTAGTCATGGCTTCACACAGTTTCCGAGCCTATACCCACCTGCTTGGAAGCTGATCGACCGCTGTGCAAGATGGGCGGTAAACCTGCTCGACACAGCGGAGACGCGGACGAAGCATGAACAGCAGAGCCTCCCACAGCGTCACCACATACGTGTTGAGTCTAGCGGTGACGAGGACGGGCCGCTGGAAATAAGTATGACAAAAATGCGATCCCGAACGATAAGCGATGGTGTCAAGCCGCAGCCGAGTAGCGCAGAACCAAAGAAAGATGGTATTGACTCTGAAAAGCCGAACGGAAACACAAAGAAGAGAAGGACTACTGGGCGATCCGGATTTGGACAGAAATCTAAGAGTATTATCAAGCTGGATAGTTCGGACGATTTACTTGGGCGGCGTATGGAGGGCCTTGCGAGTTCCCTGACCGGAGCACATGATGAAGACTAAGTGTACCCCGTAGGTCGTTAATATACAGTAGGTAATTCTACATTGCTTGCATATTGTAATACCTAGAATCGCGCTCCTCGAGGCGTTGCATACTAATTAACTATTGAGTAATATAAGATGTCATCTTTTGAAGACAAGCGAAGAGCCCAATCATGCCATACTATCTGTCATGTACTGAAAGGCATGATCGGTGTTGTAGTCGTGCAGTAGAATAGAAGGAAGCATATAAACAACGCACGAATTAAGGTTGCAAGTTAAATCTATGATACCTAAAATAAAGATCCCGTTACAGATACATATTGCACATTATTGGTATGGAATATATTCTTGTATGGCGATATCTGCGACACGGTTCAGAGTACCTAAGGTCAGACAAGTAGCCATGAGAGATGCCAAAGGTGAAATCAGATCCATAACCAAAAGAAAAGGAGAACATCTTTTTAGAGTGAGGCAATTCTTCTTTACTGTGGCTGATTTCTAGCCTCTTGTAGGACAGAGTTATAGCCAGCGACTAGAATGAATAGGAACTATATTAGGTAGATTTGGTAATCATGTATCTCTGTCTAGGTACCTAACCTTATCCCTTAAATGTCTCCCACTTAAGATAACTTGACGGAGACATATAGGTCGGATCTGCGGCAAATAGCGATACATGTAGTTATTTTTGTCCTAAGTTGTAATGCATTTGAAAAAAAAAAAAAAAAGCCCTAATAATAGGTATGCAAGAGAATAGGGATTACCGATTCGTTGCATCATATCTATCAACCTTCTTTTCTTTCTAATATCATGGCTCATGAAAGTGCCACGTTAAGACCCCATGGCTTAAAGTTATGATAATAATATTAACTTTTCATGAGAAATGTAAGCGCTTCACGTTCGACTCACCTATATCTTTCAGTGTTACTGCAGACTTATCCCTAACAGCTAGATCTTTGGGACAAGCACGCGGAATGTTTCGGGTAGCTAAAGATTCCCGCAGCACACTTAATATTTCTAATAAAAGAAATTACAGCATCGAAGATTTTAGTAAGAAGTGCCATTGGGATAGTCCACAGATTCTCTAGTAGACTTTTTAGTCCCTCGCCTTCGTTGTTCTTGAACGATATCGTTTTATGAAAAAAGAATGCTTTACAACTAGATCCATTATGGCTAACATACCTAGCTAAGGTAATTTGTATTAAGCATTCGTTTTTTGACCCTTGAAAATTTCCTCGGTATAAAATAATAAAAGGTTGCCATACTGCTATAGAATACGCTGAACACTTTGGAAAAATATAGGTCCTGCCGGGTCGAAAAAGAATTCTGTCTATAAGAATCTCAGCACTGACATCCTAAGTATCTATTTAGCTATATGATAGTTAATGTGGTGTATTGCGGCCGTATAGGATCTACAGTCGACATGCCTATTCGACAAAACGATACTACATGTTAGCTACCTGCTGTTGTAGCAACTTCAACCTGGGCGTCCAAAACAGCTCGGCGGAGCATTATCTGACGGTGCAATAGCCGACTTACTAAGATGTGACAACATAAAGATACTTATATCGTGATACATCTAGTTGTAGCGTCAAAGGTCATGACCTAGCTGTGGATGGTTCCATTTGATTCAGATATAGTGTAGATGGTGGTATCGGGTTCCTAATGGGATTAAGGTTGTTACGGTGACACTCTGAATGCTGAGCTGAGCATCCTAGCTGTTGAGCTAGCAGGAGACAGCGCAATCCAGTACCCTTGCTGTTTCACGATCCCGCGTCCCGCAGGAGGGTGTGCAATAGAGCTCCTTCTACATTGCATTTTCCATTGAGAAACTCTTCGAAGGAATTCCGTCACCTACCCCTCTATTCCATCTAGCCCTGTCTCCTAAAGTAAGTCGTTACTAACATGCATTAACGAGACTAGAGCCCCTCGTAGCCAACAACGGCCTGTACGGCTTGTCTATAGTTCCTTCATTTAGACTCCATATCAGACTGGACTGGCCAAAGGGGGAGAGAGCATTTTAGCCCCTGTAGTTTGATAGTTCAGTTGGATCAAATCATAACGCACATCTTATTACGCCATGAAAAAAACCATGAAGTCGGCTGGACTCCATATTCAACGAATGGGTGTTCGAGCATCCCTGTTAACACAACTGGATTAAGAGCTGAGGCCGGACCCGAGGCAACTCGCCCAGAATAGATATTGTAAGATTTTAGTTTTTTTATGAACATCCACTAAGCCCTGTTGCTGTGTAGATAACACGTGGGAAACCGCCAGGCGAGGCTTCAAAACCTGGCACCTATTTGGTAGGATTGTTACTCGGTTGGCCAAAACTAACGTGGCCCGAAACCAAGATATAACTGCATATCAAACTTACTATGATGATTTTCTAAGCCCGATGATCAAGAGCTTGGAACCTAACGAGGCCACTTACTTACCTTGCTTGTAAGCATATCCGAGAGCTACCATGGCGTTCACGAAGGGGGGCCCGCGGTCAACAGAGGGACGGCATGTGCTCTTTTAACGCGCCCGAAAATTATACCCAGGACTTTGCCATATAGTTACCTAGGTACCTACCTGTATCATGCATGTACGACTGGAAGAACCAAGCCTATTGGAAACTTGAGTATCTGCTACAGCACGTTTAGGCGAAGTATCTGCGCCCCGAACTGAAGTATGGTAATTAAGCATAGGCGATATTTCATTTTTTTAAGCGCTTATCATGGCCGCCTCTTAATCCGAACTCTTCCAACTCAAACAATTGGTTTATGTCCGCGATATCGCGACAAGGCAATGATACTGCCTCCTTGGGGATCGGTTTGCGCCACAGGCTGACCAGTTTAGGTGTCGAAATGTCCCTAGAAAAGGGATAGATAGCAGAGGAAAACTAAGTAGCGACAGTAAAGAAAATCTGGAAGTACCCATATGTGATCGGGCACGCCTCAGAAAATCCTTGATTTGGATAGAGCCGAAAAAAGTAGATCACATTCGCACGATAAATAGAATTAAAAAGAACCCCCCCTCCCCAACCTCCCCCCTAACACATGTCTACTAGCACCTTGTCGAAAAAAAAGGGTATTACCGTAGTGATGCTAAGAATGGTATATAAATACAGTCGTACAAATGCGTCGCGGAACTTTTAAAGAATACTCCTGTTCCGAAGGATAAAAAGAGTATTTGTTCGTTCGTTCGTCAAATTCGTAACCTCGTCGGGTATCGTCCGGCGGCTATTCTCCTCCGCTTTTAGAATTTATTTTCTTAGCCTGTTAGAACAAGCTGGAAGCATCTTGGCTGTTGTTAGATTATGTTTGCAATGCTTATTCTCTCCGTACTGCGACTCCCCGACGCTGTTCCAGCAGTTGGGCTATTTCTACTGCTGCCGATTTCAACCGTACCACTTCCGAGCATATTTCCTGGTATATTCGCTCCTTGCTCCACCTTAATGGGCGGAAGCGTCTGTGCTCGAGGCGGATAAGTAGCAGGGCTCGCGGCCCCGGAAGAAAGACCTCTAATAAGCTCTATTAGGTTATCCCATCCTCCCCAATCCTCCCTCTCTTTGGCATTTAGACCAGTTCGCCTATCCGGATGGGTTAGACCACCTCCAACCGTTGATGCAGGCATTGTCAACGGCACCTCGCGCTCCGCACCGAACCAGACCCAGGCCGTTTCTGTGCTGGCCTGCATATCCATGCTTACGTATATGAGAAGCTCCTCGTCTTTTAAAAGCGTATCTTGGACGGCCCTAGGATTAGGTATAGCCGCTTGAGGAGGGTAATTAGGCGTAGTTGAACGCGAGAGAACGGATAATAATTCGCGTTGCTTAGCCTCTAGTACCTGTATGAAGAAAGATAAAAAGCGACCACAGGGAATGGCGACGTCTCGTCGCGCGTCAATCGACTTGAGAGCTCTTAGACATGTAGATGCGAGTTCATAATAGCCCGTGAAGAGTAGAAATAGCGTAGAGCGAAATATGTGAGTTACTAGGAGACTCGTGGCGGTATCTGCAAGCGTCGAGTTGATCCTAGCAATCAAGTTCGCCGTTTCTATCGCAGTGACTTTACACTGCTGAATTGCGTCGCTTCGAGCTTCTATAGGGCATCCGGGGGCGAGATTATGGCGGTGTACAAGTAAACGAATACTAAGGAGGTACGCAAGCGGCATTAGTACGTGAGGAGCGACTAGAGAGGCATTATTTGCTTCGCATGATTCCGGAAACATCTTCTGACAAGCGACGAAGTGGCTGTCAAATGTCGCGAGCCGCGCCGGCTCAATTACGGCACTGGCGAAGGCTTCCCTTATGGCGGAAAAGGACCGAACTACATTGATAATACTGTGTAGGAAGTGAGTTAGGGGGATGGCATTTGGGGGGTGCACGGGACCCTCGGTATGGAGGAAATGATCGTCAAACGGCTCGGGGAGCGCCACGTCGCAATCGGCATCGTTTATCATGAAAGGGCGCCCGAGGTCCATGGACAGCATTCGATCGAGCGTGTATATTGCCCACCAAACCCGCCGCCTCATATCCGCCTCTACTCTGGAACGCACCCCAAGCACTTCTAGGTGGAGGTCGAGGTCTTGCGCACTTCGCACGGCACTACCCAGCCAAGTCCAAGCCGCAGACTTCAAGTTCAGTTCGTTTAACGCAAGCGAGATAAGGAACGAAGTCCGGACGTTGTCGAGGTCAAAGTCATCATTCCAAGGATCTACCAAGCTTCGTGATGCCTCTAAAAATTCGCCTGCGCGCAGCGTCCGGTCCGGATACGGGTCGTTGCTAAATAGGCTTCCGACTGCCAACACAGAAAAGAACATAGAATGCCAGGATATGGGAACCCGTTGTATGTTAGTGGTATTTTGATAGAGCTCCTCTACCTGATGTTGCAACGTCGGCCAATGTAGAATTGGCATCATAATATGTGCGGCCCCGTAATAAGTATGAAGGAGCTTGTCTACAGTGACTTTAGGAGGTAGTAGTGGTCTGGGATGGTCGAACGTGACAGTGACCGTCGGCGGCTGTCGATATGGGGGCGGCGGCTTTAGGACGCCCTTCGAGAAGTTTCGGAGAGCTACCCTCGCTCGGGATGGATCTTGTATGGGAGGTGCTGCTCTCCTCCGTCTTCTTGGTTCAGAGTTCAAGTCCGGAAGAAACTGCTGGGGTATTTGCTCAACATTTTCAGCATCAACATCCATATGCTCACCCCTTTCAGCCAACGTGCGCCTTAGATTACTATTCTCCCTCCGCACTCTTTCTATCTGTTTCTCGAGGTCTTGCACTTGTTTGATAGACGACATGCGCCGGTTGGTCTCCTTTGTAAATTGGCATTTGACATTGCGGCTGGAGCATTCTGAACAACTCGTTGTTTCTGTGGCGTCACACTTGACCTTTCTCTCCCGACAGGCGTCGCAGCTTTACGCGTGTACGGAACCCTGAGAAGCGAATATTGGATCTTCCTACGCCAGGGTAGCTAAAGAAAACCCAATATCCGCCCCCTCGAAGCCCCGTACGTAGAAGTCAGCATCGGTTTTATATACCATTAAAAAGGGATATCTAGAGACTATTACGCTGATCTCTCTTTTGCACGTCTAGAATATGCAAAAAAAAGACATTTGCTGCCAAACACATACCTTGGATCCTTCCTCCTCTGGCGGTAGGCGCGCTTCTGTGCTGATACGTTTGCCGACAGCTGGGCGCTAGAAAGTCCCGGAGTACTCGCGACCGACTCGGCTGGGGGTAACGAGTCTCGACCCATCACTGAGGTCGCCGTTACCGGCGTGTAGGGTTGAAAGCCTGTCTGGGTAGCTGGAGGCAATGGCGGAATGCCTATGGGCTGTGGAGTTTGGGCGGTATTCGACCTCACGTTTGAGCCCATTAAGTTTCCTAGAAGCTGTTGGACTTGTGGGCGAGGAGAAGTTGCCGAAGAGACCGAAGAAGAGTCATACGACCTCGTGGATGGATTGGGGGAACGTGGGAATGGGTTGTGTGACGGAGCTGCCATCGTTGGAAGGCTTATAGTTAAGCTGTTAAGCCGTTGGCAGCTTGATCGGGCGGAGTTCTCCTCGGATCGGGCTCTCCCCAGTCGGGCGGGTTTCTGGGGAGAGTTGCCGCTCAAGGAACATGCAGAGAGCTGTGCTGCAGTCGTCTCTTCAGGGACAGCCAGATATCAGAAAACTTTCCAAGCACCATTCCACCGTGGTCTAAATCTAGGATGAACATACGGCGGGCGGCGGAGTTTTCGACAGGAGGAGCCGACCAGAACGAACTATCCTCGCACCAATACCGCAAGAGTCTGAGCCTGGTTCGCGCAGAACCTTTTTGCTGATCGTTCTCGAAGAATCTTAGGGACCAAGCTGCCTTTTGCGGTGTTGCAGCAGCGTTGTGTTACTAGATGAATTCGTTCAAGTTCTAGTTCTCTGCCGGGCCCGCATCCTCTAACCATTCAAACCACCCAACAAACAAGCTCCGGCGGGGGGGTTCCCCAACTACACGGGACGGATGACCGGCTGGGAACAGAGTCTCGGAAGCACTAGGGTTGTTGCGATCCAGCATCCAATACTGCTATTCTCCGTTCGGTTGGAGGCTTTCGCCGGCATCAAGAGTGTTAAAAAGAGATCGGCTGCCTAAACGGGAAGGGTGAACCTGCCGGTAGGCGATAATGATCATGTGCAAATGTAAAGTATTATAACTACGATACGGGTTTAATGTGGTGTTACTCGAAGAGGAACGCCGGGGTGACGACGATTAGGTCTGGCAAATGAGCTGCCTCACGTTCGAGGATAGCCGGTGACGGGAAAGAAAGCAGTAAATTCTGGAAAGGGCAGTGATCTGAGGAGAAAGTCGATGGCAAATCTGTCGATAGACAGGACAGTACAGGACAGGCTACTGCTACTGCTACTGCTGCTAGTTCGCAGATGTATATCCATCTAGGTTCTCCCGCCCTAGCCCGGCGCCGAAACAAAATTCGGAAATATATAATCTGGAGGGGTCAAACTAAATCCTTCTACACTACTCTTGACCCCTGTAAATAGTACAAGGAAGACAACTAGAGCAGGGCCTTGGACGATGTTCGTCAACAACTGAGAAAAGGAAGCTAGGTAGCTACGGTGTTTCGAGCTGTGTATGTAGGTGGGCCGCCGGCCTGGGCCCTAGCCTGGCCCTAATATAAGTACAGGTCTCCGTACTGTGGTAAAACCCTAGGACCTTGCCAGATCAAGGGGGGCAAGCCGCGATGGCGAATCGGGCAACCGCTCTAAAGTAGCTTAATAGAGAGGTTCCATGTATGAGTACTATGTAAGTATGCTGGTATGTAAGTAAGTAGGTAAATATGGGCATATACATTACACATGTAAGTAGATCCCGCGGTTCTGCTCTCTGGCTTATATTTAGCTGATATGTACTTCCAACGTATTGTACCTATCTACCATTGCCCGCGACTAGGTCCCTCAGGGATGTGGTTGTATGTGGACATGTACCGTTGCGCTCTAAACTCGGCGAGTGCGCCTGGCAGGGACTGTCTCTTTTGGCTTGCAGAGGCCACTGGCTTGTTAAAGGAAATCCTTTCCCCTCCCTCCAAGTTTGATGCTAAATATGAACTATAGCGTAGCCAAGTACAATACATTCATGCGACTTGGGATGGCACTCTAACCACCCTACTGCTGTCCTAATGTTTGGCTGGTCTGCCCTAGTCGATGAAGTGTAGTGTAGCGTATAGTATAGTATAGTGCATGTAGGGATCCTGGACTGAACTATGCAACCTCCACACTGGAAAACTGTACCGTACCTAGCAGCTGCGGATTGTTTTAGCGTGGGATATCTTAGGTAGGACTGGCTGGCGAGTCGGCACTCCCCTCGGCTGTGCCCAGGCCCGTTCGGGTTGCATGATGTGCATTCGGAACCCAGGAATCAAGCGGTACCGTAGGAGGTAGGTAGATGTCTCTTTTGCGCTCTTCCTTTTCCCGCACCCTTTCTCTAGGCCACGTCCCCTTCCCTATCATCGCTATCTTTTCTCCCTCTCGTTCGCCGTAGCCCCCCTGGTCGTTCAGCTGCTCAATCTGGCGACACGCTAGGCGTCTGTTAGTAAGAGGTAGTGCGAGGGAAACAATAAAACCTATGCTACGTGTAGGGGTTTTCCCTGGTAAGCGGCAGTGGCCGGTCCGTTGTTTTAGCAGCCCTTTTGACAAGCATGGCTAGGGCCAAGCAATGTAAGTATGTATTGTATCGTATTGTATTGCACGTATGCATAAGGTATATTAGAGGTAGGTATGCAATTGTCTGTGAGCCCGTGACCCCATCGCTTTTTAATAAAACCTGGCATAATGAAAAGAGGACCGTCCCACTGGTGGACAACGGCTCACGACAGGGTTGAATAGGGTCACTAACGACAGCTAGCTTGAAACGTACCAAAGATCGAACGCTCTCCGTGCTCATGCCGATGTAACCTAATCGCTTGGTTAAGCTAACGCTAATAAACTCCGAGGCATTGGCACCCATGTATCGAGCGCTGGAGAGCCCGACACCTTCATCCCGGAGACGTTGTTTCTTTTGTCGTTTCTGTCCTTTCATTCTTCGGGAGACATCGCGGGCAAACGATCGGGTATGCCACGGATTGGGTGGCATCGCTCAAAACCTGTGGCGTTCCATAGCGCTGCGCAGCCCGAAGAGGAAAGGAAACAGTGAGAAACCACCCAACTCCCATATATTGCCCCTCAATTTTTCTCCAACAAGTTACCTACCTGTGATCCCGGCTACGATCTGGTCATTTTTAAGGCACGTTTTGTCCTGGTGGTAGCCCTAACGCTTTGCATGGGAACACCCTTTGGCCTTAACTATAGTAATCTGGTTGGGATTGAAAAGAGCATGGGGAACATGCAAGGTGCCGCAAAGAGATCACACTACCAATATATACCTACCTAACCTAACTTGCATGACAGTATACCACGTACCTACCTAACTTAAGGTACCTAAGCTTTGGAGCCCGCCAGTCCGCGACGAGAGATGATTCCGAATACCTACCTACCTAGGCAAGGGGGATAATGGAGTATTCCGTTCTTACTGACTTACCTAGGCACAAATTCAATTCTAATCGAGGAAGGGGTAGGACAATACGCTGCATCTTCGTAATATGTATCTCACCCAACTAAGCGTAGGTAGTTACCTATAGATGCTCGGCAACGGGCTCAGGGCTTCTTTTATCTTACAGCCATGTAAATGGCTGAGATAACTTTTAGGAAGTAGACTACCGAAGCGATCCTGCACCTTTCTAATAAACTTGTTCTACCTACCGGGTTTCCTAACTGAGAACTGTGCCGCGTGAAGGCATGAAGCGCTAGAGATACACTCTATAGGTGGCTGCATCGTAGCATAGAGCAACACTTAAGATCTGGAAGATGGTGAGTGGTCTATTAGCAGCCAATCCTTAACACTGACCCCGGCCGATAGTAAAAGAATTCTATGAATAGCGCCACTCAAGAACCCCGAATGTCATGAACAGCGTAAACTTGCATATGTTGTTAGGTTAGGTAGCTTCAACCACAGTATTTAAATAAAACTACTGTAAATAGCTATAACAAGCGCGCAACGGTAATTAGCTCTTGGAAACCCTAGAAAATAAGAGTTAGGATTGGTAAGGAAAGACATTGTCTGACATTGTCTTAAACACGCCCCAAACTAGGATCGTAAACCATCGGCTTCGCTATTATTAGTGCTTGATAGCCTTACACGTGAACCTCATGCTTAAATATAGCAATAAGCGCATCATTAAAAATTATCATTTCGGATAAGCGTTGAGTTTGCCGCGGTTCGCACGGAAGTTTGAAATTTCGAATCCCATCTCTGTACAAAAGAGAACGGACTATCCGAAATGTCTTCACCGAAATCCACTTAGAGCAAGGGAGAGAATGGAAGATGGATCATGGATAGAGGCCACGCGGATAGGTAGTAACCAAGTCGTCAAGCTAAAAGAGGGGGCAAGGTAGGATCTTCCAAAAAAAAAAAAAAAAAATCTATCGATACAACTACGAATAGCTATATCAATCAGATCATGAGAATCGGGGAGCTACCCAACGTTATCTGTCAGATAGTTAGTTCACAACCGGAACTACCAAACGTATTTTTGTAATGAGAGAAACGTGCAGCTGAGGAGCTTCCTCGGCGAATGACCCAATCCATTCACTGATGGCGAATAATCCACTAGGCAAACTGGAGCGCACCAACGCTTGCCAGGTAATATGTAGTAGTAACGGTTCTAAGGTTGAAGTCAAACCAAAACCGGCAGATAGCTGCATATCCAATATCGAGATCGTCAGGGGATTTGAGGCTTTTAGGAGTATGAAAGGCTCATCAACCAAAACACAGGGATGAAGCAACACTTATTTGACCGAGTTACGGATCCCGATTACTAAATAGGCATCCTTTGGGCAATAGGCTTGCTAGTTGGGCTATCCAGGGCGCTGAATTTGATTATACTTACCCAAAGGGAAGCCCTTGAGGTACGGAGGTGTGAACTTATTAAGGCGCGAGCATGGGATAATATATTGGCTATCGGTTTCGTACTTCGTGCTGAAGTGTCCTTGTTGTTTATTACGATCAAATCGTGATCCATGCCATATAAAAGCACCTAATATAGGTACCTAAGGCAGGTAGGTGCTTGGCAGAGAAAATGTGCATAAACGCATTGTTATGACTTAATGAGCGGTGGTCAAATCTCCAGGAAAGCAAATTGAGCAACTAGCTGTAAATACCAGGTATCTACCTCTAAGATACCTAAGGCACCTAAATCAGGCAGAGGTTGCGAGGTAATAAAATGATTATAAGGCAGGTAGAATAAGAAATGTTACATCTAACGAAATAGGAAGTCATAAAACCTTCAGCTTATATGGGGCATATAGTAGTTAAGGGACGACTTCAAAATGAGGAAGACATCCGACTGGGCCCTATTCGGCATGATGTGCATTGTAGAATACTATAACGAAGTAACGTTGATCATACAACTAGCCTACCTAGTCTTCTAGAAGTGTTCCTCAAACCTCTTCATCTTAGACGGAAATTCAGGCCCAATTTGCATTTAATTTATCTGTTACAAGGCGGGAGAGATGGGAAGCATACATGTGGCTTGCATGGTATGTCTTACTTTCCAGGGTCGTCTACCTACTTAGGAAGTAGGTACAAGGTACCCTTTTTTTCTGAGACTTGAGCTCAAGATGTAAACTTGCGAGAGCTGGATACCACGCAACGATGATTTGCAAGCCTACTAAAAAAGCCCATAGCATATAGAGAATCGAAAGGGAATAATTCCTTAATTTATATATGTGGCAGGTTGCTCTCTCATTCAAAGGACTGCGCTGCTTGCTAGCGAATGTCGCATTTCGAAAAGGGGCGGAGCT